GAGTGTTGGGTGTGTTTGCGCTCTCAGAGATGTGTGGTTGGGGTTTCCAGTCCAAAATGCCGTCTGGTCTGTAATCCCAGTACCTTTGGGAGGCTTAGGCAGGAAAATCACAAACTGGAGCTCAGCCTGGATTATTTAGTGATTTAATGAGACTCTGTCTAAAAAAAAAAAAAAAAAAAAAAAAAAAAATCAAGAAAAGGCTGAGAGTGTAGCTCAGTGAAAAGGCTCTGGTTTCAATCTGGCAAATCCCTCCACTTCCGACATCTGCCTAAGAATTCCAATCATGGTCTCTCTCACTGGAATGAATATCTATAAAGACAGGGCAAGAAAGAGCTCAGGACAGTTGAGAAAAGCAAAGAAAGGAAGTTTAAAACGGAGCACTTCCACTAACCATAGACCTGCTACATTTCCAAATAACAATTAACAAAGAACTGGTCAAGACAAATGCAAAAGATAGCAAGAATTTAAATTTACTGAAGATACAGAAAGGAAAAAAAATTCTGCAGAGCAACTGTGGGCCAATTAATAGCAAGACAGGAACACTGCAGGCAGAGTGCACCACTGAGAAAGCGCACAGGGACCAAGAGCTCAGTGGTTGCCATCTTTTTTGTCTCCCGCCCCTCAGAACTAAGCTGTCCTATCAAAAAACTGCTTGAATTCCCGCGAGACAATTTGAAGCACTCTGATTGGTGTGAGGCTCGGGGAAACATTCTGCGCATGTGTCATGGAACTCTGTGATTGACAGGTAACACTCAATTTCCTCAACGCTTTGCAGCCATAAATGCCTGCCACACTATCCCTGGAATTATGTATGGAGGTTTTCTAGGTGGTGCATGTACCCCCACTTCATGCCTCCCTCTATTCCCTCTTAGAAAGAACCTGGCAAGAACACATTGAACAGACTGAGATCACTTCTGGAGATGGGTTCGGGAGTACCCACGAAGGAGAAGAAAATGAAGTAGGAGTGCGTGAAGGGCCCTGGCCTCCCTCCTCAGGGTTGAGAAGAGGGATTCTGCAGCAGAAACAAATTCGAGGGCAGGGAGCATTCCCTTGGAGGCAGGCTGACAACCCTGAGCTCTTCCAGGCCAGCCAGGGAGGTGCGTCAGTGAAGCTCCTGCTGTGACAGATAGGCCTCCATCTTGCTGAGCAATTTCTCCACCTCACACGAAGGCATTGACATCTTCCTAAAAGTCAGTTTGAGATAAGGAAGATAACCTGAAATGGCATGGGGGGGGCACCTTGAACACTCTTGACAGGAGAGTTGCTGGGTTGTGTTCAAGTAAAACATCATGGATTCTAGACCACAGGCTCATACCGGCTTCCTGACATAGACAACACCATAAAGATTTCCCTCTCAACACCATAAAGATTTTCCCTTACTCAGAAAAGAAAACTACTTGGAGCCTGCTGTGGCTTTTGTCAACGTTAAATAATATAAATAATAAAGGAACATAATTTTGCCTGACAAGATATTTAAGGCAATTGCCTTGTTTTCTAAATGCTATGAGTGGAAACTCAACGTTGTGACAGTTCTGTAGGTTCCTTTATCATATTGGATCTACAATCTGAGGCGCATCAAGGAAGTCTCCATGCACTAACACATATCAGGGGACCTGCAAAAATTCACACCACCGAGAGACAGTCCAGGCTCCAGCACTGAGAACACCAGCTCCACAGGCTTCTACAATGTTTCTGGCTAAGAATGGGACAAACGAAGTTAGGGAAGGTAAGTCAGGACTTTACCTTAAAGAATAGATAGCATTTCTTTGAATTCTACACAAATGTTACATTACATTTTGATTGTTTGATTTTAATGTCTTAAATTTTGATGAGGCACTTTGGTTGTGTCCCAGAAATTTATAACAGGAGAAGGTTAATATTTAAATATGGGAGCATCTCTGGTTGGCATGTCAGTAATGGGAAGACCTCCAAGGAGCAAATGGCATAATTCTAGAAAGCACCGCTCACAATAATGATTAGTCAGGATAGGTTAGGGTATGCCACTATAACAAGTGAACCCTAAAATCACAGTGACTTTATATAGTTAAAAAATTGTCACCAGTTCTCATCATACAGTATCACTAAGAGGAAGAGTTGGTCTGTTCAGGGCCCTGGTTTCTTCTGTCTCAGGGTGCCTCCCTTCTGAAAACATAGTAAATTACTGAGGTCAACAACACCATGACAGACTTCGAAGCATTCTCAGAAAACAAACTTGATGGAGAATGACCTTTAAAACAGGGCGCAGGCCTTTCTCCAAGAGTTTATCATCCCCCAGGGGTCCAGCGATACTGAATATAGGCTTAAGGATCAAGTCCAGTGCGTTAAGGATTTTAAAACAGATAATTAACCAGGAACATTTATTCTCAACCTCAGATGTTTCCTCCGAAATGATCAGAACACCATTAGTGTAACAATTTTAGTTTCTCTCTGCCTCCACATTTATGCTTCCCCATGGACAAAGTACTAATCTGTTTTATAGTGTTTGGAGGAGAACTTGGCCTGTGTAACATGGCAATCTACAGACTCTCTCTATTCCTGTGGCCCCTTCTCTGTCATGCTGTAAGTTTTCTAGGGAGAAAACCTCACACTGTCTATGCTGCCTGTGACCAGGTAGATGAGTCTAATTCTGCCCTCAACATTAGCAGATTGGCCAATATACCTCCATGTGCTCTGCAAGTCAAGCAGGCAACATCTAGGTCTCATTTATTTAACTACTCTATTATTTTCTATTTGGGCTCAGAATGAGAGCCCCCCCCCCCAAAAAAAAGCTGCCTCCATAAACATTTCAGTTGGAATTTTGATTTGTCTTATAGTGAACCTGTAGGATGATTTGGGAAGGTGTGGGATAAGTTGATCATCTTTAATGTGGAATCTTCCCATTGAGATTGTTTTCTCCACCTTTACTTATATCTTTCATTTCCTTTACAGAATTTTTATAATTGTCTTCACAGAGGTCCTACAGTTTTTGTGGTGGGTTTAATAATAGCTATTTTATGAATTTTGTTGATTAGGAATTTTCTACTCATTACATTTTCCAGTTGGTTATTTTGACCCAGGATCTGCTTTGGTTTGGATCTAAAATGTCCCCTGCAAGGCTCATGGGCTCAGAGGTAAGAATTTTGGAAAGTGACTGGTGAATTAATTTCTTGGCAGATCCATAGTTTGACGGCGTTGTTGGGACTTGATGGAAACATAGGAGGTGGGGCCTAATTGGGGGAAGCAGGTCGTCGTAGGGATGAGGCTTTGAAGACTGTGTCAATCCCAGTCTCTGCCTCTCTGTAGCCAAGGCTCTTTCTCTATCTGCTTCCTGACTCCCGTGAGATAAGTAAGTGGCTTTCCTCATCTACACTCATGGTTTTCCTGCCCACAATAATGGGTAATTACCCAACCACGGACCGAACTTTCTGAACCCATGAGCCCACATAGATCTTCTCCTCCTTCAATGTGTTATCCTCAGGTATTATCTACAGTGATGGAAGGCTAACACATTCTATGGCATTTATTGAGCACCTACTACATACTAGACATTTTCAAGGCTCTGAGGTTACAGCAATGCATGTGTCTTACAAAATTGCTATTTTCATGCTGAGGCAGACCAACAAAACATAAATCCTAATTAGTCAGTGTATGTCCTATGTGACTCATTCAGGAATGGCATCACTCAGGAGGCGTCCTTGGAGTATCGAGGGCCCAAGCTGTGGGAGGAGGGGCCCTTTCGGGGAGTACTTGCCCTGCAGAGACCAGGTGGTCTGTGGAGCTACCTCCAGGGGCGACAGTGCCAAGTGAGAGGAGCAATTAGGGGTTAGCAGTGATCGCAAGCATCCTTCCTCTCTCCTCAACTTCTTGCCCCTACTCTCTAGCTCTCTAGTCTGCTATTGGTTGCCACATGTACTGTTACAGTTTACATCCGAGGGTACCCGGAAGCCTGAGCACTCAAAGGTGTGGCTTTGAAGCTGACTGGCCTTAGCCCAGCCTTGCTGTCCGAGGTGGGGCCTGATTGGTAGAGGCGGCCCTGGGGGCGGGACCTGGAAAGGTTCCTCTGCTCCTCCCTCTCTCCACTTCCTGTTCCCCGTGCCCTGAGCAACTTTCCTCCGCCAGGCCCTCACCGCATGCTGTCTTGCTTTGAAGCAGCCAGCTCTGGACTAAAACCTTGAGCCAAAATAAACGTCTCCTCCTTTGAGTTGCGGGCGTTGAGTAGAAAGTGACTGAGACACCGCCTGCTGAGGTTTTCAGTTTCCCCAACCCATCACTGTGCTGTTTTTAGACACGGTCTCTTGCTTCCCTCTGGTGTCAGTTATATTCTTATCTCAGGATTCTGTTGCTTTTCTTTATAAAAATTACCTCTTTGGTCTAATGATGTCTCCCATACTTCTCCACTTTTGTCTTTATTTCTGGCCAAAGGAGTTCCTGTTTACTTACTCCGTGCACCATCCTTGGGGCAGGACACATGGTAGAAGGTGAGGGGCCCACGGGTTATTTTCACAAAGGTCTGGCTCCTGGTGGCCTCCTCTGTGGGGTTCCTGTGCCTGCCTCTCCTGTCCCTCCTGTCCCTGACAGATGCCCCAGGCCTGTCCCTTTCTCGTGCCTCTGCACCCATGGGGCCACGACCCCTGGGGACTCTTTTTCCCTTCACCGTGGATGGCGGCTCCTCCCCACGTCTCAAAAACACAAAACAACAAAATAAGAACAAAGACACATCCAGTTTGCTATAGTGACTCGAGTTATCCTTCTTTGTGACTGCATAGTGCTCCACGGTGAGTAAATACATCTTCTTTATCTACTCACCTGCTGGACACACAAGCTGTTCCCATAGTTGTTATTGACTTGTGTAGCTATACACATGGGTGTGCACGGGTCATTGTGACATGATGTCTGCATTTTTATTTCCTTCCCAGTCTCACTTCTGTTATGTTAGGGGATTTTAAGCAGATGGTCCCTGGAGACCACCAGTCATCCTATTTCCTCTCAAAACGTGATTAATATCCAGAGAGAGACACATATGAATTACAAGTGTTATTAATAAGACTGGAACAAGCAAGTCTTAATAATTGGGAGTTTAAATTAACTAATAAAATGAAAAGAATGACAAAGGAGTTTCTATGTACAAAGGTCAAATTTAACAAAAGGAGGTCGGTTTTTATACCAAAATAGGAATAACAGCGTACACAGAGAGATCATTTTATAAACACTGATCTGAAACTTTGACATTTGGCAACTTTTTTTCCTGGGGGGGGAAAGGCTGACGTTCTTTGGCATCGTTTTTAAAGGTTTCTTCCTGCACCCTCGTGCCCCACGGTACTCACAGATGCCGAAGGAGAGCACTGGAGGACGCATTGGGTTGATCCATTTTTAAACACCCTCGGGCTTTTGCTTCCGCCGTGGGCCACCTCCGGGGCAGTGTGGTGAACGGCAGAGGTGTGAACAGGGAGGCCAGAGCCAGGGCTTGGACTGTGCTTTTGTTTTTTCGGCTCTTCCGTCCCTCACCTTGCAAAGGGCTCCGCAATTCCCCAAAGCGACCCAGCTAGGGCCGCAGCGCGCTCGGCCGGCAGGGGGCGCTCTAACGCGCCGGTTTGAGCGCACTGTGAGCTTGCAGGGCACAAGGGGTTCCATAAAGCGGGGTCCCTGCTCCAGCTCTTCACATGGCGTGTCCCTTTGGCAGTTTTTCTTTTTTCTCATGAGAAAATTGGCTCTTTTTCCCCTTGTAAGGCAACTCTCAGTCCACCTCCATATGCCTCTTCTCCTTAAAGCCGCCTGGTTTTGCAGGAAGCCTGTCCCAGCGCCGCTCCTGGGCAGCACAGGCTGCCCCTCCGCTGCTCCCCCCCATTCCACCTGCTGCCCTGGGTGAGCCCCTAAAAGGACAGCGCTGTAAGCAGTTCAGCGACCCTTATGAAGCGATGCCCTGCTTTCTGCCTGCGTCCAGCCTGTCCTGCTGAAATGTCCTGTGCAGTGCCGCCCTGTGGGGTCCAGGGGGGCCGCTGCAGTAGCTAAGATCGTGGAGTCCGCGGCAGGCAGCCTCCACATGGCCTCGGGGAACTCCGTCAGCCCCAAAATGGCTTCGGAACAGTGCAGGCCGTGTGGCCTGACCCAAGGTGGGTTGGGACCCCCATCCCACCTCCCCCGGGGAAGCATCCTCCTGGCTCCTGGCCCAGGACCTGCTCCGGCCCCGAGGCAGCCGCGATGCCTGGCTCAGATGTGCCGGCCGGTGAGGAGGAAGAGCGGCCGGTCCTCCCTGGCGTTGGCCGTCTGGAACTCGTCCCGCAGCCGAAACTGCCACTCGTCCTCCAGCTCCAGGCGCACGACCGTCTGGCGCAGCGAGTTCCGGTCCTGACAGATCACGCACAGCGTGGCGCCTGCGTGGTGAGGGGTGGCAGAGGCGTGAGGAGTTTTTGAGACCGGGTCTCACTGTGGAGTCCAGGCTGGCCTTCAGTTCATGGCGATTCTCCTGCCTCAGCCTCCCGAGAGCTAGGAGGCGTGCATCACCCCACCGATCTCCTGCAGTATCCTCGAGAGATAGGTCAGGCTGAAGGCAAGCTAAGGGCAGGGGAAGGTCAGCGAGGGTCTGAGCAGGATGGAAACGCAAAGCGGAAATCATGGGCTAGGCAGGTAGAACAGGCTTTGTCAGTGTCAACCACCGTATTAGGAGAAGGAGAAAACCCGGAGAGGAGACTGCAGGACCTCCGGCCAGGAAGGAGCCTCTCCAGAGGCCTGCGCATGGAGGCAAGGGGCCGAAGAGGGAAATGGAAGGGGAAGACGTCTGCCCCTCACAGGAAGAAAGGGTCACAGGTGTAAGCACAGAGGCCCGGGTCCAGCCCTGCATGCCTGCCACTTTCCCTAGTGGTTCCAGTCACGTCCTCTCTCCCAGCCTCAGTTTACCCACTGGCAAACAAGGCCTAGGAGGAGGGGTTCTGTCTCCAGAGAGGCCAGGTGACAACGGCCATTACCTTTCAGGAAGTGGAACTGTTTCAGGAAGCCGGGCCCCACGAAGGAGTCACACAGGTAGAGCAGGAGGCCGCTGAACGTCAGGTCTGAGCAGCTGATGTTCACGGAGTGGGGCCTGGAGCTCACGTAGCAGACAGAGACCTGCGGGAGAGGAGCACGGGCGTCTCACTGCCCACAGGAGTCCGCTGCCTTCCACTCGGGGCCTGCAGCCTACTGAGGCCAGCTGCTCCGCAGAGCGAGAGTCCACAGGTAGCATGTGTGTGCTGCTTCCTGGTCTATACCCTAAAAGCCGCTCCAGGTTTATCTATGAGGTGCGATGCACAGATGCGTGAACGTTTAAATTCTTTTAAAAAATGTGTAATAGTAAGACAGGTTGTTGTGAATCCCCCTCGGAATACTTCTGTTCACTTCCAATACTCCCATCATCATCCCCACCGTTTTCTGCAGCAGATCTGGAGTCCTCTTTCCTGAGGGTCTCTACTAGGTAGGATCAAAAATACAGTAACTGCTGCTGCCAAGCACTGTTCAACAGAAAGGCAGCTCAGAAAAACATGATGCTGTGTCTTCGTCAACCTTAGTCACTGGATCTGGCACCGTGTGACTTCCTGCTCTTCCCCAGAGTCACCATGACCAGGAAAGGGAGACATTTTGAATCCGTTTGGGACAGGGAGGCAGTCAGGACTGCACAGCTAAAGACCCTCAGGAGAGAGGACTCCAGAGCTGCTGCAGGAAGCAGCAAGGACAATGGGACGAGTGTGTGCAAAGCCACGCAGGATTTTGAGAGCGATTCATGGCAATGCATCTTTTACTGCAATTTAAAAAAGAATTTAAACATTCACTGTATTTTCCAGTCATACCTCTCTCAGCCTTGACTATGCCGGCCAGGAAGTGGGGTAAACACCAAGACAGGCATTGGAGGGGGGGGCTTTGTCTCCATCATGCCCCTCGATTCAATCACCCACTGAACAAAAATATCTGCAGAAAAATACTTGCAGCCCTCCTGAATACATAAACTTTCCTGTCATCCCTGAACAACACAGTATGATAAGCATGCATCGAGCACGTCCACTAGTCAGGTATGACAAGCAAGCCAGAGATGCAGAGGCTACCAGCAAACCCTACATCCTGTGACACCAAAAACCTGAGCTACAGGTGCTGGTACTCAGGGGGTCTAGAACCAGTCTTCATGGATACCAAAGGATGTGAGGGTCCTGAAGCAGTTTCCATGGATACCGAGGGATACTGAGAATCTGGAACCAGTCTCCATGGATACCAAGGGATATAGGGGTCCTGGAAGCAGTCTCCATGGATACCAAGGGATACTGCAGCTTTCAAACAGAGTGCCCTCTCTCCCAAGCACCCTGTGCCAAGTTACCTGAGGCCCCAGGTTTAGGTAGCAGTCCACAGACAGCACAGGGTGGCCATGGTTCTTCAGGGACAGTGGGAAGATGCGGTGGCTATGGTGCTGAAGAAATTTCTCCAGCAGGAGCTGGGCAGGTGCCGCAAGGAATGTGTGCTTGCTATCCGGGGCACAGATGTACTGGGCTGGCACAACAGCTGCAGAACTGTCAGACACCTGTGGGCAAGGCAGGGGACAGACCTCAGGCCACTGCTTGGCTTGGGTCTCGGGGCAGCTGGGACGGTGCAGGGCGGACGGCCAGAGCCAGCCACCAGAACATACTTCAGGAGCAAAGTTCTGCATTAAGAAAAACTAGGTTTTGAGCCAGGTGTGGTAATGCACACCTGCAATCCCAGCACTCAGGAGACTAAGGCAAGAGGACTTCGTGTTCAAGCCCCCTGGGGCGTCTCAGCAAGACCCTGGCTAAAAAAAGAAAAAAGCTAACAGGCTAAAAATGACACCGAGAAATATGAAAGAATAATCAGTTATAAAGGCAGGTCAGGCTTTGGGGTAGGAAGACTTAAAATGGGAAAGATCTCAAATTAAACCACAAACCTAACATAATTTCAACTTTAAAGATTCTCCATGGGGATGGAAGCCAGGAGTTTAACTCAGTAACTCCCAACCCCTTTGTGAGGGCAGCCTCCTAGTTTTGTTTTCTGGGTTTTGTTTAGATTTTGGTTTGACTTTGTGCTGCTCTGCTCTGTTTTATTTGCAGTTCTGGGGGTTGAACCTGGTTTCACACTGAGCTACACCCCCAGCCCTTTTTTTCTTTCGTTCTTTCCTTTTATGTTGAGAGAGTCTCGCTAAGTCCCAAGTTGCCTAGGCCGGGCTCCACCTGCCTCAGTCTCCCAGAGTGCTGGAATCTCAGATGTGCACCACCCCAACTGCTCCAGCCTCGAGTTTGGAGGTTCTGCCAGCTTCCAGGAAGGCGCCACCTCCCGGAGAAGGCACTGAACCCTGTCTATGGGGCAGCTGTGTCTGCACCCAGGCCTGACTGTGCACACATGGCACTCTGCAAGTGCTGGATGGGACCAAACAGTCAGGCCAGGGGGGCTGCACCCTCCGCCCCCGCGGGCCCCGAGCACCTTGGAGGTGATATGGAAGGCCCGCCGGCCGCCCACTGCCATCTGCTTCTTCATCACTCGGAATCGGTTGAAGCGGCACACCAGGAGGCCAGCGCTGTGTACACGCAGGTTGAAGTCCACGTCATCACATGTGAACCTGCCGGGTGACAGGGGCCATGGGACAGGGCCGGCGCCATGGGAGAAACCACACATCATCCCATTTGTTGGTCTCACTGTGGAGCCCAGGCTGGCCTCAAACTCGCGGAGATCCTCCTGCCTCGGCTTTCTAAGGGCTGGATTACAAATTGGGCCCCGTGGCGCACATCTATAGTCGCAGCACTCCGAGACCAAAACGGGAGGATTCCTGTGAGTTCAAGACCAGCCTGAACTACATAGCAACGCCCTGTCTCAAAGAGACAAAAAATAAATAAGTAAATAAATAAAATAGGTGCTGGATGACAAGCACCCGCCACTGTACCCTTTGCCCATTCCATTTGCTAGAAAAATGTAAAAGTCTCAGGGTAAAACTGTGTGTTTTGTTTGTTTGTTTTGTTTTGTTTTGTTTGCAGGGCCAGGACAAAGCTATGGCGTCATGCGTGCCAGGACTGGCTCTGCCCTGAGCCCCAGCCCAGCCCTGGCCACTGCAGTGGCTCAGGACCTAGGATGAATGTGTTTGAGGCTGGGGGAGGGGCCTGAGGGGGACTCCTGGCCGTGTGTCTTTCACCGAAATACATTTTAAAAGTCTAAATCTCTAGCAAGCACTTCAGTCACACCTCGCAGAGTCCCTCCCAGGCCACCCGGTGACACACCGCCCTCCAGGCCAGCGCCCTTCTGGAAGGTGAGGCTGATTCCCAGCCTCGCAGCGCTCCCGCAGCGCGCATCGCAGGTGGAGCGAGCGGGAAACGGGAGGGCAGCGGCTCAGCTCACCGGTTCCGGTTGTACTGCACGTTCTGCGTGAGGTCCACGTTGAGGAGGACGAAGTCGTGCACATGGCAGCGGGAGAAGGGCTCGCGCACCTCGCAGGCGCGCGCCCTGCCGCCCCACTTGTGCAGGCCGAGGAGCGCATAATGCGTGATGTTGGGCGCGGCCTCGATGTGCTGCAGGACGTGCTTCAGCGACACGTTCCGCTCCGACCATGAGAACTCCCTGCCGAGGGTCGGGGGCTCAGGGGTCGGGCCCCCAGACTGCAGTGCTGCTGTCCCAGCACCGCCCCGGGGTGGAGGACACCTTGCCGCAGGCTGCACCCCAACTGGCATTTCGGGCAAAACATGCATGCATCCTGCCGTGCATGTGGAGGCACACACCTGTAACCCTGGCGCCAGGAAGGCTGAGGCAGGAGGACCGCCATGAGTTCAAGGCCAGCCTGGATTATACAGCGAGATCTCGTCTTCAAACTATATTTATTAATTAAAAAGCTGGACCTGGCACGTGGGCCTGTTTATGTATGTATGTGTGTGTATTTAGCTATGGTCTTCAGCATAGAAGCTGGGGTCCAGCACTGAGCTGCATCTCCGGCCCTTTTTTCTTTCGTTTTTTATTCTGAGACAGGTTCTGCTAAGACTGGGCTCAGACTTGCAATCCTCCTGACTCAGTCTCCCACATTGCTAGGATTCCAGGGTCCCTATTGCCGGCGGCCAGCAGCAGCACCACACCCAGCCCCTCACCGGCCGTGTTCCCCGGAGCAGTCCACGTCTACCACGTTCCACATCACACAGGAATCATCGGCGATGACGATGAATGGCCAGATGTCCTGTGGCTGGATGCCCAGCTCCTCCTGTCGGCTGCGCTCCAGCTCCAGGTTGTGGTACGACAGTTCCTTGATCAGGAAGTGCGCGGCACCTGGAAGGCCGAAGTGTCCTACCTCAGCCCCCTGCCACAGTGGTCTGCATGGCCCAGCACAGAGCCCCAGCTGGACGCACCAGCACCAGGCTGCACATGTATCCAGCTTCCACAGACCTCGAGGGAGGCTGAGACAGCACTCTCTCCAATGTGTCCACATCTGTCTGCCTCTAGCGACGGAGGTGGTGAGTTGGGTCGGTCGACATGCCACCTACCAACTCCAGCACTGTTGAAGATGCTGGGCAGGACCAGCATTATGTGGTTGGGCCAGTACTTCTTGTAGATGGCCATCTCGTACTCCTTGACCACCAGCACATGTAGGTGGCTGGCGCCGTCCATGGCGTGGTACAGGTTAAAGAGACCGTGTTCGTGTCGGCCGGTGGTCGGCGTGAAGGTCGGGCTTTTTATGCACTCCTGACTCTGGGAAACACCCCGGGAAGAGCTTGTCAGTGTGGCTACTGTTGCTCCCCTCTGTGCCTGGCAGGGCTGTGCTGCCCCGCCCCGCCCTGCCCTGCAGGGGTGCAGACCGACAGTCCCCTTCCCTGAAATGCAGTTTTGCAGGATCCTGCAAAGGGCAGAGAAATGCGCCTTGCTGACCCAGAGTGTGGCTGACCCCACGGGTGCCGGCTGGGACCAGGGCCAGCTCAGATGACAGTGTGAGCCCAGCCCAGCCCGGAGGAGCCACCCTGCTGGACTCCACGCAAACACTGGATTCATCCACTCTGCCAGAGAGACTTAGAGCCACCGTCCGGGGCCACACCACTGCCCCTCACCCTGGAAGCCTGGACTGGAGGAACGCAGACTGGGTCACACACCCTGCACGCTGACTTCAGTCACATACCCTGCTCGTGCTGGAAAGAGGACGACCCTGAGCCCTCACAGCACAGCAGAGGGGCCACGTAGGGTTTGTGTCATTGCTGGAGGGCCCCTCAGTGAGGGGCTTGGCTGCTACAAATCCGCATGGGCAGCAGTGCTCAAGGCCTACTCTGATGGTGAGGCCAATGACAGATGTCTCCACCATGTCACATTTGTTGGGGTGGAACCCAGAACTCGCACTCTCGGCTCCATCCCTGGCCCTTTATATTTTGAGACAGGGTCTCTAAGTTGCTAAGTTGCTCAGGCTGGGCTTGATTGCAATCCTCCTGCCTTAGCCTCCCAGCAACTTAGTGACTTAGCAATATCCTGCTTAAAATACAAAATTGAAATGGCTGGGGACATAGCTCCTGGGGAAGACTCTGTTCCATTCTCAGTAATGTGCACGCGCGCACACACACACACACACACACACACACACAGCCTTAGAGGTGAGGAAACTGAGGCCCCAGCCCAAGCCCACACCTCAACCCCTCCCCCAGCCTACCGTGTCAGTGACCAGGGGCAGCCGCATGCTCTCCAGCTGGCCGCCCGGCTGGCTAAAGACAAAGTGGTGCTCCTTGGACTTGGGGATGATGAAGTGCAGCTGGATCTCCTCTCCTAGCATGGAGTAAGAGAAGGCAAAGGCGTGCAGGGTGGACTCACAGAGCTGGGGTGAGGGAGAGGACACGGCCGTCACCAGACGCCGTGGCCACACCCAGATCACGGGCATCACCTCTGCCCACGGTGCGGATGTCCAGGCTGACCAGCAGCAGATTGACCCCGTCCGCTTGCCAGCCCTGCCCAGCCCTGCCCCTCGGGCTCCAGGGACGCAGGTCTCACTGCAGGTGTGATCTGGAACAGCACCTTGAGAGCTGGGGCATCCTGTGACAGTGCCCTGAGCACCAGCACCCCTGTTTACAGCAGCCCCACCCACAGCAACTGAGCTACAAGCTTCCTGCCTCCTGCCCCCAAGGGCCCAACAAAGCTGCTCTCTGGCCCCACCCCATCGACCAAGAACGCCTGTCCCTGGGGCACTCAGACCAGCCAGCAGGGGTTCAGGTCTGGGAGTCAGAACGGGACATGCACACAGTCTTTGCCGGTTTAGCAGCCCACCACATGGAGCTACATACCCAGACCTTCAAAGAATATTTCCTAGTATTTCTTATTTTGAGGCAGGGTCTCATTAAGTCACTAAATGGCCCAACCTGGGCTTGAAATCAAGACCCTCCTGCCTCGGCCTCGCAGAGGGTTGTGATGACAGGTGTGAACCACATGCCTAGCTGGAACAAATATTTTCTATCACAGAAGAGCATGGGAAGAAGAGACAGAACAGTGGCCAGGCTTGTGGCCAGCACACAGTAGGTGCTCGGCAACGCCAGTTCCCTCCCAACGCTCAGCCCAGGGGCCCCCATGTTCCCAAATCCTGCTCAGTGCGCATCTCCTTTCCAGACCGAACCCTGAGGACTGGGCCATGTCTCTGTCCCCAGAAGCACAAGAAGTGAGTGACCAAGGCACCAAGCTAACACCTGGAATTGCTAAGACCCCAAGGCAAGGACACCCAGTGATCACGGAATTGGGTGCCCCAGGTAGTGTGGCCCAGGAGGGCATGAGGGACACACGGACCGGACATCCCACCTGGGAGGCGGTCACCGGGCCCCAGTGGCTGGGCCCGGTGCCTACCTGGTAGCGGGGTTGGGAGCCCAGGTAGTGCTGGCACTGCCCGCAGTGGTGGTAGGTGTTGTGTGCCGCATACTTGGACAGCCGTATCCGGGCCGTGCGCCTCCGCACAGGCGGCTCTGCAGTCCTCTGGGTCCCTCTGTCTGCACAAAGGCCCCATGGTCAGGGAGCACCAAGAGCAGAGCCAGCGTCCCACTCCTGCCTGGCTTTACCAGGTGGGCTCAGAACCACCGTGGAGGCCACTGCCAAGCACCAGCAACAGAAAGGCCACTCAGAAAAGCATGGCGTCACATCCTCTCCCCCTCAGCCACCGGACCTGGCACCACGTGACCCCTGGCTCTTCCCAGAGTCACCATGACCAGGAAAGGGGGATGTTTAGAATGCATTCGGGACATGGAGGTAGCCAGGACAGCACAGCTAGGGAAACCCTCAGTAAAGAGGACTCCAGAGCTGCTGCAAGAAGTGGCCAGGACGGTGGGCCGAGTGCATGTGAGGGAGGGGAGGATTCTGAGGGGACTCACAGCAATGCATCCTGTACTGTAATAAATTTTTAAAGTATCTGCCATACTTTTCCACCACATTTCCTATGTAAAGGTCTATAACTGCCAGTTTAAACTGAGGGCCAATTTGATATATAAATGCTGACGAGCTGAATTGTCCCCATTTTTTTCTTCAAATGATTTGGCGCGATTAAGGTTTTTTTTGGTTGGTCTAAGTATTTCCCAGTCCTGAGGATTGAGCCCAGGCGCTCTGCACTCAGCAACTTCCCAGCTCTTTTTATTTCTTTAGTTGGCGACAGAGTCTCTCACTAAGTTGCTTAGTTTATGTCCTGGTAGCTCCTTCCTCCCACAGATGAGTGGCCTTCTTGGTTTGGCTGGGACAGTCATCATTACCTAATTGGTCATTAATAAGACACAGCTGAGCCCAGCTGAATTTTATTAATATATAAGGGAGCTGGACATGGTTGTGGGTGCCTGTGAGCTCAGCACTCTGGGAGGCTGAGGAAGGAGGATCTCAAGTAGCCAAAGCTGGGCAACTTAGTGACTTAGCAGGTAATACAGAGTTCAAGTCTGACCTTCGCTCTTGACGCCCTGGTGGTGGGAACAGATCAGACTGGCGTCCTCGTACTTGGGGTCATGGATGATGTAATCAAAGGGGATCTTCCGGAAGAGCTCCAGGTCCGGCCAGGGGTCGTTGAGCTGAGTGTAATGCCACTCAGGTTCTTCCCAGAGGCCTGCTCGATAACAGGAGGAGAGAGACAGATCGAGGAGGAAAGGGTCCGTGTCACTGTTCCCGGGAGAGACTAAGAGCAGAGTTGCAGTTTACTGGTGGCTTCCTGGGGAGGCTATGGCAGGAGGATTGCCATGTCTCAGGAGCCCCTGCCAGGTCCCATTTTCAGACTGCTCCAGGGAGGTGACCATGTGCCTCCCACCCTGGGCACAGCTCTGCCCTTTCCTGTGGGCACAATGTGGGCTCTGTCTGAGCCCTAGCATTGCCTCTGCCCAGGTCCTGCCCAAGCCCTGGGCCCACACCTCCTCCTGCACCATCATTCAGGGACCCTGAGGCCAGCACCTGGGGACCTTGGCATTTTACCCCAGGGAGGCAGTAGCTGGAGCCAACACCAGGGCAGCTGCCAGCAACACTCACAGCCCAAAGTCTGCCTCCCACCACCAGCGACAGCTCCCCACATGGGCACCGCCAGGTCCTCAGCAAACCTGTCCTGCGTCTCAGGGGACCTGATGGTGCATTATACAACCTGCCGTCTACAAGTCACTGAGACACAAGTGTGTGACGGTTCACAGCATGCTCACTACAGCCCCCAACTGCAGGAAATCAAGGGCAGGGAAAGTGCCCATGGGAGGGCGCTGGGCACGGTGGCCTACAACTGTCATCCCAACACTCTTGGAGGCTGAAGCAGGAGGATTTCAAGTTCTAGCCCAACCCAGGAGTTGGTGACATGTGTGTACACAGAAGGGATTCATTCTACCCCTCAACGCCTGGCCTGCTCTCCCGCAAAACATCTATCTCCATCTGTCCTACGATCTATCTTTTCTTTTACTCTTTATTTACACTTTGGACTTCTCATCTAAGAGAAGCCAGGTGCTATCTAAGCCTGCGTGTCTGACTGACTTCACTTAACATGATGGTCTCAGTTCATCCATTTTGCTGCAAATGACTCAAGTTTATCCTTGTTTATGGCAGCATGGTGCTCCATCATGTGTAAACAGCACATTTATGAGTTGTTCAACACCCGAAACCCTGTGCCTGCAAAACCTCTGTGGCTGAGCTCCGAGACTGAGAGGAAGGACTGAGGGATAGCACAGCAAGGCCTTCAGGAGGAGAGCCTCAGCCTGGCCATGACAGGAACAGTGACAGGTGCCGGGGCCACCACGCCGCCCGCTCACCAGTGTTGATCTCCTCCTCATCGTACACGTCCACCTCTGTCAGCCGAAGCAGCATTCTGGACAGGTTGCTGAGGAATTGTAGGTAGGCACCCGTCTTGCCGATCTACAGAGACACAGGGTGAGGGACCTGCCCACCTCTCGTCTCACCTGGGGTGGGGCAGGGATGCAGGAACAGCAGGCCTGGCGCCCAGGTCACCCCGAGTCGGCCCCACATTGCGCCCGCCACGGTGGTTTTGCTGGCTTCTGCAGCAGTGGGAATCCGACCCAGGGCCTTCGCATTGAGATGCGGCCCCAGCACATTCTAGTTTTTCACTTTCAAACAGGGTCTCATTAAGTCACTAGGTTGCCCGGGTTGGCCTAGAACTCGCCACCACCCTCCTGCCTCAGCCTCCCAAGTGCCAGGATGACGAGGGTGCACCAGCACACCTGGCCACCAGCTGAGCTTTAGAAAGGACCTTCTCATAGCTGAAGAAAAGCCTGCTTCGCAGCCAAAGGAACAAAACAATCAGGTGAAACCACACGTCCCCACCTGAGCCCAGGAAAGGCGCAGTGTCCTCCTCCACGTCTGGGGTCACAGAGACCCTGGCTCCGGGCCTGCACTCGGCTACCAGACTCGCTCAGGTCACCACTGACTAAGAACACCCGGGCCTCACTGTGACCTCCACCCTGCCACAGTAACCCAGCCCAACACTTTGCAGACCTGAGCCCAGCTCCTGCTCCACACAACAACTCGGCAAAGCCTGGTAAACAGAAACAACTAACTTCAAACAGCAAAACAGGAGCCAGGCGTCGGGGAGCACGCCTGCAGTCCCAGCCCTCGGGAGGCTGAGGCAGGAGGATCACATGTTCCCAGCTGAAAGTTCTGTTCCTTACGACGCACATGACTGCTGCCAGAGGCAAGTGTGAGCAGGTGGGAAGGAGGAAGCCTAACTGGAAATCACGAGAAGCAGCAGCAGGCTGGCAGGTTCCACACCAACCAGACAGAGGAGGACAGAGAGGTGCGACCACAGGCGACCCCTGGCCACGAGCAGGGGTGACTCCACCCTGGTCCTGCCCACTCCGGGCCCCGGCAGAGGATTCACTGTGATGTTAGGACTCAGATCTAAACAGCCTCCAAAACCATGTGTGTGCAGATCAGGGCTTCAGAAGGTGACTGGGTCATGGGGCGCTGTGCTGATCAAAGGCTCCATCATGGATGGTTCACAGCTGACTGCAGCACCAGGTGGAGTCTGGCTGGGGGTAGTCACTGGGGTGTGGCCTGGAAGGGTGCCTTCTCGTCCCCAACTCCTCCCTCCCTCCCTCTCTGCTTCCAAGAGGTGCACAACCTTTCTCCACCACACCCTTCCTCCATGGAAGCTGAGCATGGACTGAACCCAGTGAAACTGGAAGCCAAGCAAACTTCTCCTGCTTTACCGTGTCCTGGTGACAGGACAATGACTAAGAAAACTGTCTGTCATTACCCTTAGCCTTGCCCTCTGCTGTGACCCCATAGAGCCTGAGCCACAGGCAAAGAACTCACCTGTGGGGGCCCACTGAGCAGCAGCCGGCGGGGGTGGAAGCCATCCACACAGCCCTCAGCGCGGTTGCCATAGTCCATGTGGCTGGGCCGGGGCACTGTCCACTGGCGGTAGTAGAGCGACTGCTCGGTGGAGGTCATGGTCTTGTTGAGCAAGGGCCGGAAGGAGCTGGTCCACATGACAGAGGGCGAGGGCAGCAGGGAGGCGGCCTTGGGCAGGCCGCTGCTGTCGGTGGCCGTGACCATGTCATATACCAGCTTGGGCAGGAAGATGATGGGCGGCTGGCGGCAGGCTTTGGCCAGGGAGCACTGCGGGGCCTGCAGGACTAGGGTGCCTGTGCAGGACGCCCCCGGGGAGGAGGAGGAGGAAGGCACTTGCAGGCTCTGCTGGCCGGCCCGGGGGGCGCCGTCAGACCTCGGCTTCTCCACGGGGACCCTGGCCTCCTCCATGGAGCCGCAGGGTGGGGAGGCCCTGGTCAGCTCCCCCTGCACGGGGCCAGAGTGCTGAGCCGAGGCCTCGCTGCACAGCACTGAGCCTGGGAAGAGGTGATGGGTCAGGGACGTCCCATGGGACAACGAGACGCAGCGCCTGTGGCCACGGGTCCCCCAGACCGCCCAGAGCCCCGCCTCCACCCACCCAAACCACCCAGCTGCAGTCGCATGCAACCCTCACCGGACCCGCGGGAGGACAGGGAGGAGGATGCCGAGTCATGGGAGCAGGACCACTCCCTCCGTGCGGGACTGCCGGGCTCCGATGGGGAGGCCGCTTCCAAGCTGGCTGCTGAAAACCGGAGAGGCACGGGGGTTATGGCCCCCGCCGGCAGGCGCTGCACCCAGCGCAACAGCGCATCTCATCCTGCTTCTGCGCTCACACTTTGGTCACACTCTGCAACCCAGCCTGGCCTGGAACTCAGTACGTGCCTAGGCCGGCCTCAAACTGACGGCGATCCTCCTGCCTCAGCCTCCCGTGTGCTGGGGTCCCAAGTGTGTGCCCCCTTCTCCGCTTATCTGCCACTTCCTGGGAACCTGTACCTCGAACTTAGCCAAATCAAGCTCACAGGCGGCACAGCCACATCTCGGGTGGTGAGGACAGGGCGCAAGTACAACACGGTCGCCGTCGTGGCGTAGAAAACGAGGACGCATGCATGCACTGGCACGCACGGTGACCCCAAGGTCCAAAGCCCAGCACTCCGCGGGGAGCCCCCACCTTCAGGCCCCGCCTCCTCCTCGTCCTCGTTGTCCGAGCCACTGGGCTTCTCCCCGTCGCCGCTGCCGGAGGCCTCACTCCTGGCAGCCTGCTCCGCAGGGTCCTCGCTGCTCACGAAGTAGGCGGCCAGGCCCAGCTCCTGCTCCAGGGCGGAGCGCGCCAGGCAGGAGGCACTGATGAGGCGCAGGTCACAGTACCGCAGGGACCTGGGGCAGAAGCACCGGCCCGGCCAGCGTCTAGTTAGGAAAGCGCTGCTTGCGCCACCTGCAGCAGAGCGGCCGCACTGCAGCCCCGGAGGTCCGCTGGCCAAGATACACACTTTTCAGGTAACCAGAAGGCCCCAGTTTCCTGCCCAGCCAAGTGGGCCTGGGTCGCAGCTCCTGCTCAAGGGATGGAAACTGGGGCTGTGCTCACGTGCCCTGAAGCTCTGATATTTTTTGGCTTTTTGACACTGGCCTTGTTACGTAGGCCAGGCTGGCCCCAAACTCGCAGCGATCCTCCTGCCTCAGCCTTCCAAATGTGAAACACTAATATTTTTGTACCTGCAAGGTGAGATCTAAGTGCACTTTGGCAAGGACAGACGTTTAATTGTTCTGTACAGGGGACATGGAGCCAGGCTGTGTCTGGGAGATGGGACGTGACAGCACCGGAGTTGGTCACAGCCTTGCTGGTCTCCAGGTAGGCCTGGAAACTGAGTGGGGACCAAGGTCCCAGTGAAGCTGCAGCCCAGCCCCCAGCACAGTGACACAGCATGGGTCTAACGAGACTGGGGCCCCAACAGGGGGACACCAAATCTTCAGCCCAGCTGCAAGCCCCCAGCCCCCAAGGAGCCCAAGGGAGGCCTTGGGACTCTGGAAACCATCACCACCCACACCCAGGGTGCATGGCACTGCCCCTGCAGAAGACGATCACACACCCAGCCCGGATTCTGGCCATGCAGCCCACGGCAGCCCAGCCAGGTGCCCTCCACGCACCTGGGCAGGGACTCGCCATGAGGGTCCATCCCGCTGAAGATGAGGATGCAGGGCAGACCCTCCAGCTCCAGGTAGGTCTGCGGCCTCCACTCAGCGTCCTCGATCTTCTGCCAGCTCTGCAGACACAGGGACGTGGTCTCAGCTGCTCGAGTGCTGAGGTGACGGCTGTGTGCCACCATGCCCAGCTCCTGGCCCTAAACTCTTGATCCTCCCGCCTCAGCCTCCAGAGACCTGGCTCGGTGGGTGGGTGTGCAGCCCCGCTGCCCCTCGACACCCCCTCCGGTCCCCCACGGTGCCTGGTGTCCCCGAGCCACCTTGAGCCGCTTCACGAAGTGCTTGCCCACAGTGATGCCAGCCGTGGGGTCCCCCAGGATGATCTCGAAGTCCTCCTCCAGGGCCAGCCGCGCCCGCACGTGTGCCAGCCGCTCATACGCCACAGCAGCCAGTGGCGAGCAGGGCACACGCAGCAGCACCATGAGCCCGTGGCCGCAGGGACACTGCTTGGGGGCGCTGAGCAGGTTCCGAGTGATCTCCAGCGTCTCCACTGAGGTATGGTTCTTCATCTGCGGGAGGCCGCGTGCCGCCATCAGGGCAGCCGCGTAGTGCTGGACCAGGACCAGCGTCCTGATAACCGCACTGTGCAGATGGGGGAACCTGCAGGCCAGACACCTGCATGAGCCACAGAGCCCCACCCGGCCGCAGGGCACCCAGGTCACAGCAGCTAACAAGTCACAACCCGGGATATCCAAGGACAGCCTCATACTAAATCATTAAGTCACCCAGGCTGGGCTCCAGCGTGGGATCCTCCTGCCTCAGCCTCCCAGAGAGCAGGGATGACAGGGAAGCACCACCAAGCACAGCTTAATGTGGGTTAGTAGAGGAAGAAGGAAGCCAGAAGTGACCTCGGTGACAGTGGCAGCCAAGAGGAGCGTGTGACGTGTCCAGGCGTGGTTTCTGTGCGAGTTGAGTTGGTGTCATCCCCCATTACCTCCCTGACAGGTGGGTGTTTTCATACCCACTGAGAGCTGGTGGCTGACAGGTGACAGGCCCAGGACTCAAGCCCAGAAGGAACAGAATGGGAGCCCAAGCTTGCAGCACACCGGTTCCCACTAGACACTAGCCCTGGGCTCAGGGACTCAATCAGTGGGTCGGGGTGCAGACTGTGGCAGGTGAGATTTGCTCAGGGTGAAAACCTGGAACAAGCTGGGTGCAGCAGTGCACACCTGCCAGCCCGGCTCTCTGGGAGGCTGAGACAAGAGGGTCACAAGTTCAAGTCCATCCTAAGTAACTTAGTGCCTTAGCAAGACTGTCTCAAAATGAAAATAAATGAAATTACACAGGCCGACAACCCTTTCTCATTTCCCCACCTCCTCGGGGTCATGAATGCCTATGCCAGAAACATCCCTGCATAAGTATGCCCTGCCTCATCTTTAAAATTTTCTGAGCCAAGCATGGTGGCACATGCCTTTGATTTCAGTGTACAGGAGGCTGAGGCAGGAAGACCCCCATGAGTCTGAGGCCAGCTGGGCAACATGGGGAGAGATTCTGCCTCAAAAAATAAAAATTTCTGGTGCACCATCATGAGAAAGCTATCACTGTCCCTACATGATTTATATGCAGAAAAGAGAAGCCCTGAGGGGCCTGGGGAGCAGGGAGGTGCCCAACCCCACCCAGGATCCAGGCCAGCTCACCACACTGTGCCTCAGGGCACTGCAAGACCAGAGAGAAGCGTACCTTTTCCCCAACGCAGTGACCATGCCCTCGAAGGAGCTGTCATATCTCAGCAAGGGGAGGCTGTGTCCAGAGAGGGTCGACTCGATGAACTCGGACAGCCCAAAGTACTTCTTGCTCTCGGGGTACAGCCCCGCACCCTGAAACAGAGCGCAGCTCAGTCACAGGGCAGGGAAGGCGGGGCCAAGGTAGTGACATCTAGTTTTCCCACAGTACTGGGGATTGAACCTGCGGCCTCTGCACTGAGCTCCAGCTCTAATTCCTTTTTTAATTTTTTTATTTTGCGAGTCTCTCCTAAGTCTCCAAGTTAGGCCTAGGATGGGCATGAGTTTGCAATCTTCCTGCCTCAGCCTCCTGAGTGCAGGGATCATGGGCGTGTTCCACAAACCCAGCCTGCTGGCTACACAGAGTCATTCTGCACTGAGCCCAGGTCACAAGAGCTCTGTCACGAACCCCTCTCCCCAGAGCCACATGGATGTTGGAACATCCAAAGTGGTACCCGAAGCCTGGAGAGCTCCAGCCCGGGCAGAACGCCCCAGCCGCGGCTCTGCATTGCTTGTCCAAAGGAAGCCGGCTGGGGCTGCGGGGAGGATTTTAAAACGGAAGTTCTGAGGAGATGGAACCGACTCGCCCCAGCCGCGGGGTCAGGGTTCCCCGGGGCCCTTTGCAGGCGGCTGTGCTACTCACGTCGCCAGAAGGCACCGGCCAGTGGATCTCGTTGTAGGGGCTGATGAGGGTGTGCTGCGTCTGCAGCGCGTACGGGAAGGAGGTCACGTGCAGCGTCACGATATTGGGGGCCTCCTTCACTTCCCTGCAATTGAGCAGTCTGTCCACCAGCCCCACACACGGGTCGCTCTGAGAGTAGAGATTACGGACAGCGCTACAAACGGGGGTGGGGATGAACACAGTTACTGATCCTGTTTTGTGACTGTTTCTTTCTCTTTCTTTCTTTCTTTTTTTTTTTTTTTTTTTTTTTTTTTTTTTTTTTGACACAGGATCTCGCCTGGTAGCCCAGGATAGCCTTAAACTAGAAGAGACTCTCCCGCCTCAGCCTCCTGAGTGCTGGGATGACAAGTGTGCCATATCACCCTGGGCTTCACTGTGTGATTTTATAAAGGGGAAAGCAATCAAATGTATTGATAACGAGTCCCCGAGTTTGCCTATAACTGAAGCTTATGGCTGTGCCTGTCACCAGGGAGACTTCAGGCACTCAGGACTCTCCTGCCCAGACTCCCAGAGTGCCAGGATTACAGTTGTGCGGGAACGCACATCCAGCTCATGCCCGCTTCGTGTAAATCGCCCTTCAGGACCAGGTGACGCCAGTCCCCCACCCCCACACACCCGCCTCGCCAGACCCCCCGCGCGTCTGACCTCACGAGGTCCCAGTGCGCGTGGTCGTGGACGAGCACGAAGAGTGTGTGCGGGCTGCGGCGGGAGCGCTGCAGGAAGGCGGTGAACGTGGCGGGCGCCTCGGCGTCCATCTTCAGCACGTGCCGCTCCACCCTCTGCCGCGTGGCGGGCTCCTGCTCCAGTCCCAGCTCCTGCAGCACCCCTGCCACACAGCCACGGGCCCGCCGCGTCCAGCACTGCCCGCTCCGCCCCCTGCGCGCCGGTTCACCGCAGCCCTAGGGCGGGGACCTTGCGTGGGCACCGCGGCTGCTCCAGGGACCCGAGAAGCAGGCTCCGAGAGGGGTGGCCCGTGACATGGCACGAAGGAGCCTGAACAGGGACTGAACCCAGGGTCTTCCCACTTAGCTACACCCCCAGCCCCTTGTGGCTCTTATTTAGACACAAAATCTTGCTAAATTGCCCAGGCTGGACTCGCATTGAGATCCTCCTGCCTCAGCCTCCCAGAGTGCCACCAGTCCCAGTGAGGGTGATTGCTTGCTCTTAGCATGAAGACACCAGCCACCTGTGTATCCCACGTTTCAGTCCCTGAAAAAACTGTAGGCAGGAGCCGGTGACACAGTAGGCCCCAGCCTGGGGCACACAGGGAGGGTTTAAGTCTCGTTCTCTCTTTCTCAAGCCCTAAAGCCTCAGGAAAATCCATGTCTTGAGACTAGCTTCATGTTCTATAAAACAGGACAGAACTAGGCTTGGTGGTGAGCGTCTCTGATCTCAGCCTTCAGGAGGCTGACACAGGAGGATCACCATGGATTTGAGGCCAGCTTGAGCTACACAGTGAGTTCAAAGTCAGTGTGGCCGCACCGTGAGATCCTGTCTCACAGTAATTAACTAATAAAAGGAGAGGAGTAATCATTGCTGAGTCTCCTCCACCACCAAGAAGGCCACTTGCATCCGGTCTCGGGTCCCTGAACACCCAGTACCTGAGCGCCACACGTGGGCCACAGTCTGCTGGAAGGTGACCTCAGAGGGTGGGACACAGACCAGGAAGTCCACCTTCCCGAAGGAGCCCAGATCCAGGTTCCGGGTGCTGGAGTCCGCGACAGAGCACACATGCGACAGCAGCTTCTGAGCCACGGCCAGCTGGGAGGGCCGGACACCACGCGGCTCCTGACGGTCAGCTGCACAGGGGACCGGACCACACTGAGCCAGTGCTGCTGCGGGGCCAGCACCGGACTACTGGGACACAGGCCACACAAGCTGGATAGAGCCAGGTGCGGGCCCCTTTCTGCAGAGGACAAGGACTTGGCCCGGGGAAGGAAAGTGTCGGGGATCCCAGATCCTCGGGGTTCACAGAGGAAACCCAGCAGTGCAGCTCCCAGGGGACCAAGGCACCGTCCAACCAGGTACCGAGGTGCAGGGACTGGGAGCCCTCGCCCCAGGCCGCTGCACACCTGAGTCCCCTGGCCCACGCCCACGCACACCTGACCGCCCTCCCTGCCACTCACTCGCGCACGTAGGGATCCCGCCGACCTCCAGGCCCACTGCGTTAGTGACAGACGGGGAAGTGACTGAAGATGAGATGTGGCCTTGAGTTTCCTGATGGAATTTGTCCAGCAAAACGTCAATGTCACCCTCTGCCCAGAATAGAGAACGAGCTGAAATGGGTTTTCCGAGCTATGGAACCTGCGAACCTCTCCCGACCAACACCCCACCCCCGTCTGCGGTGCGGTCCGGCACCCAGCGGGGCAGAGGGGATATGGGCTGGGGGAGCTGGACCCCAGCGGACCCAGCGGCAGTGGCAGTGCGGGTAGGAGGGCGGCGCTGAGGACAGGGCCAGCGGGTGGTGACAGGGATGCCGTGGCCCCTCCCCGGTGGCGTCCGTGCGCCCGGCCGCCCACCTGGACAGAGCGCGCTGAAGAAGGCCCCCAGAGAGTCCAGCCTGCCGGTTGCCAGCTCGCAGTGCACTTTCCTCTGGTACTCCGAGGGGCTGAGCAGGCTCTCAGACAGGATGCGGGCCTGGTACTTCCCTGGGGAGGAGCAGCAGCGGGGCTTGAACTCAGTCGTTTTGCTCAGAGCATCAACCTCAGCCCTTTTCAAAGCTTTTATTTGGAGACAAGGTCTCGTGAAGTTGCACAGGCTGAGCTTGAACTTGCCGCCCTCCTGCCTCAGCCTCCCAGAGTGCTGGGATGACAGGCATGTGTCACCACCACGCCTCTCAAGGCGGCAGGAGGCCGGCTTACCAGTGACAGCGATGCAGGAGTCGATGGCGGCATTGCGGCAGGCATGGATGATGACCACGTAGTTGGTCTTGGCCAGTTTGCCCTCGACCAGCAGGCGGAACATCTCGGCCAGGCCCTCGGCCAACGAGGAGGCGCACTCGATGACGTGCACGCTGTGGTTGCAGGAGCTGGCGGCCAGGCCAGCCAGCCAGGGTAGCTGCGCCGAGGTCACGGGCGCCGCGGGGCCAGGCACGGCCGGGTAGGGCTGCGGTGGCGCCTGCGGGCACTGCCGGACCTCGGCCAGGTGCGACTGGCGCCAGGAACGCAGGAAGATTTGCTCCAGCTCCTCCATCAGCGGGACCTGGTCAGCGGCTGCAAGAGGCGCGGGCTCTCAGCACACTGGGTGGGGCATCGGCTGCGGTGCTCTGAGTCAGGGACGCGCGTTGTTCTAAGGTGAGCTTAAAGTCATGTAGTCCAGGCTGTGGGAGCCTCCTGCCTCACTCAGCCTTCTAAGTGTCGAGAGACACCGGTGTACCACATCAGTCTCCTCTCCCGGAGGTTTTAAATGCTGAAATTCTTAAAAATGAATTCCTAGGCCACTATCACATGAGCTTGCCTTTATTCTTGGTATTTTCTCTTTTTTTCCTCTTGGGGTTGACCTCTGCTCTGAGCTACATCTGCAGCCTTTTATTTCTCCTGACACAGGGTCTCACCAAGTGCCTGTTGCCCAAGCTGGGCTTGATCCTGTGATCCTATCTCTCACTCTGTCCCCCTGCCCGATGGAGAGCACCCAGCTTAGCAGCTTTCTCTGCCATGCCAACCTGCCTTCCCCTCTGCGGTGAGCACTGCTGTCCTCAGGGCTGCAGGTGTGCCCTGGGATTTCAGCCCCAGCTGCCCAAGGTGGTGGGGTCTGTGATCTGCCCCCTTGGATGGCAGCCAATGTGGGATCACCTCACTGGATCTGGCAGCGAATGGGGACTCAGCAGCTGGATCCGGCAACCAATGGGGACCCAGCAGCTGGACTGGAGGCCAATGGCGACTCAGCAGCTGGACCTGGCGGCCAATAGGAACTCACCTAACTGAACAAGGTAGTAGACGGTGAGCAGGAGCTGCATCTCCTCCGAGATGGGCTGTACGGCGGAGGAGCCGCACTGCTCATAGGCCCGGGAGATGGACTGCGAGTTCTGGTAGCAGGTGTGCAGCAGCGGGCTGACCACCACGTCGCTCAGGTTCCCGCACAGGTAGGGGAAGTTCCCGTGGCCTGCAGAGGAAGAGGCGGTGATCTGGGGACGGCTGGGGCCTGCGGCACAGCTCGTCGGACAGGAGGGGCAGGAAGGTCGCTGTCCCCCCACCCACGGGGACACAGGAAGCAGAAGTGCCTCGTTCTCTGGGACTCGTGTTCCCGTTTGGAGAACACGTCAAGTTGGGACTCGCACAGGACCCCAGGAGACGGGCGCAGACACCTAGGTATCCCTGAGACAGAGGAGGCCTGACTCAGCCTGTGAATTCATTCAGAGCTCTGCCGAACTCCGGGCTGGGGGTGGGGGGGGTGGTGGTACTGGAGCGGAGTCAACAGCTGGTGGCACAGCCCACGACTCGGCTATTTACAAGCGGCTAAATGAAGGGTGACTGTAGAAGAAAGGCTGTGAGCCGGGCGTGGTGGTGTACACCCGTCATCCCAGCACTGGGGAGGCTGAGGCAGGAGGATCCCCATGAGTTGTTGGAGGCCAGCCTGGGCTATATAGTGGGTTCAAGGTCAATTTGAACTACACAGTAAGACACTGTCTCAAAAAATAAAAAAGAACAACTTTCATGAAGTAAGCCCAGAACCCTGGGACAGGAGCCACATGAAAGGCAGACGAGGAGGACTTCTCAAAAGAGCACTGCAGGGTCCAGGGCCGCAGATGCTGACCCTCTGCAGAGGGGCGCAGGCACCACCCTGGCTTTCTGCTCTCTCAGCCCCATGGGCTGGGACAGGTGGCGGCCACACAGGAAAGACAAGGCACCAAGACACGTGGGCCCCACAGGAGCCCCACCACACTTCCTTGGGACCACGTTCACACTTTTGTCAGTGGTGGCGTTCTGAAAGGAGCAGAGTGTTTGCTTTACTTTTGGCTTTTGGTTATTTTAGGGAACTGAGGATTGACTGCATGACCTTTCCTCTGATTGCATCCCCAGCCCTTTTTATTATTTGTTTTGAGAGGAAGTCTCACGAAATCACTATGCAACTCTGGCGGGGCTGGAACTTGAAATCTTCCTGTCTCAGCCTCCCAGAGTACTGGGATAAGAGGTGCACTACCACACAGGCTTCTTTAGGTTTCTTCTTTTTGGTTTTTTTTTTTTTTTTTTAGGGGGAAAAGTGTCCTTTCTTGATGAACAGTAGCAGTTTGTCCCTTGGCCTACCAGGCTGCCTCTTCTAATGCTACAAGCACAGTAACAACCATCAGCCAGGGAAGGACCTGGATGTGTGAACCCCGTCTGTGTGTGTGTGTGTGTGTGTGTGTGTGTGTGTGCATGCCATGCTCCAGCCCAGGACAGTGCCTGAAAATCCTCTGTTCCAAGGTCTCTGATTCACCAGAAAGGGACTTTGGAATTTCTGTCTCTGAGCCAAAGCCTTCCCTCCCCCAGCCTGGTCAGCCAACGCCCAGAATGGATTGACGGCAGCCAGGTGGCACTCAGATTATGGCGTTGGGTGCCAGTGATGTCTCTGCACTCAGTGTGGGAGGTGTCACCAGGGCCAGCTCTGGGGAGAGGAGCACAGGAAGGAAGGAAAGTGGATGGGCCGGCGTGAAGTCCCGAGCAGCCCTGCATGTGGTCAGCCGACGAGCGGTTCTCAGCACCTGCAGGGCTTTGCACTTGCTCAGGAGGCCCCCTGGGGCCGGACAGGGACCTGGTCCCATCGTGGCCTGTCCCTTCTGCTGCCCCAGGGGAGCCCCAAAGACCTTGCCTTTAAATATCACTGGCTTGGCTTTGCATATCTTCAGCAAATTGTCAGGAACAGACACCGGTTCCCCAGAGCCCATGACAGGAAAAGCGACTGAAGCTGGTCCCACTGTGCCAGCCTGGGCCACACCTGCACCTTCTGAGAGGATGGGAAGTTTAGGGAGATGCATAGGGAATGCACGGAAACCGACACATGTTTACAGGAAACAATTCAGTAAGGCCTCCCCTCCCTTCACACACACTCGTCCCGACACCCTCGCCACTTTCTGCAGCAGCTCTGAAGTCCTCCTTCCTCAGGTCTCTACCAGGTGGGATCAAAAACACAGTGGCTGCTGCTGCCAAGTACCACCCAACAGAAAGGCAGCTCAGAAAAACACAATGCTGTGTCCTCATCCACCTCAGCACCGTGCAACTTCCAGCTCTTCCCCTGAGTCACAGTAACCAGGAAAGGGAGACGTCTGGATCCATCAGGACATCCCTGAGGCAGCCTGGACAGCACAGCTAAAGATCCCACCCAGGGATGACACTGGCACCTCTCTAGGATCAGGCAGTGCCATTCAGCATCGCCAGATGTGGAGTCGGCCCCCTGCCCTCCCCTGACCCATGCACACCGCCAGCACTAAGGCAAGGGTGGCCATTGTGTCTGGGCCTCAGTCACTCACCGTACTTGGCTCTGCTCACGATGCCCTGCACATAGCCAGCATCCCCAGCCCATGGGGACTCCGGGGACCACCCTTTGTGGCGTTTTTTGGGAGGCCCAGAATTTGACAAGATCCCTAGAAACATCAGAGCATGAATTAGGCTGCAGCTAGCCATGAGCTCGGATACATTTTCCCTTAATTTGGAGAATGCTTACTCAGAATTTTTAGAGCACAGTTCATGATGGATTTTATAGCACACAGCTTACAGTTGTTTTTTTGTTTTGTGTTTTGTTTAGTTTTACACAAGGGCTAACTATGTTGCCCTAGCTGGAAAGTGGTGAGCCTCCTGCCTCAGCCTCCTTATGAGGAAAACTGAGGCAGGAGGATCACAAGTAGGTTGGACCCCAAGCTGGACAACTCAGTGACTTAGTAACATGCTGTCTCAAAACTTAAAAACTAACAACAGGGCTGAGGCTGTAACTCTATGCAAAGGTCTTGGGTTCAACCCCCAAAATCCTAATTAATTAATTAATCCGTCAATTAAAATCTACTGTGAAAATGTAGCTTAACAGGGACTGAAGCCTCCTGGAGGCCAGGCACAGTCCGTCCCCGCCCCCCAGCACTACCAGGTTCCAGCACTGGGGGCAGTGCTGCTTTGCCCTGCTCCCTTGGCTGCTGGGCAGCTTGGTTCCATCAGAGAAAAGGAGGCTGAACCCACTGCGGCCACCTCCATATGACAGCAAGCCAGGTTTTGGACTGCCCTGACAAGTGACCCCAAATGCCATGCCCTGGTCCCACAGCTCCTTGGATGCCCCCTCCATGCAGAGCCCAGGTCCCTGGGGAGCCCAGCAGCCAGGCACACAGAGGTCACCAGGCACCCTGATACCACAGAACTTCCTGGTGCTTGAGCCCAGTGCCTGGGAGTAGGGACCCCAAAATGAGCCTCAGAGACCCCACAGGGACAGGGATAGTGACCGCTGTCGCTTCCCTGCCCCTGCTGCAGGCCCACAGCTAGGTCTTTCTGCTTCCTTCACTGATCAGCAGTCACCCCAAGTCATACAGCAGCTGCTGCAGTCCCTGGAGGTACCCCAAATGACCAAAACAGAATAAAACTAAATCAAAAGCTAAAAGCGTGCTGGAGGACTCACATCACAATCCCAGCACCTTTAGAGGTTGAGGCATGAGGATCAACAAGTTCCAGGTCTCAAAATAAAAGATTTTAAAAGGAGCTGCTCAGGCCCCGGGAAGCCTGCCGTATGGAGTGCAGGCCAGGAGACTCCTGATCTGGTTCAGGGACAGAACTCAGTCTCCACAGTCACAGGCCCGGTCCTGAGTCCCACCGCAGCCCTGAGGTCAGCCCTGAAGGGAAATGTGGGCTTCAGGCTGCACCTGTGGAGCTGACCTAGCCTTGGACCTGATCAGCTCTGAGGCCTCGATTCACCCCTTCCACCCTGATGGTGGCCCTAGGAGGTGGCCGGGGTGTGATGGAGATGGCAGCAGCATTGGCCCTGCCCAGCCTACTGAGCTCCATCCCCAGCCCTTTTTACAGTTTTCATTTTGAGATAGGGTCTTGCTGAGCCCAGACTGAGCTCAAGTTTGAGATCCTCCTGCCTCAGCCTCCACAGCAAGAGGCTTTCAGGTACGTGCAGTGTCACATGGCTCTGCTCGTCCCTCTTCCCAATCTGCCTCCCACACTGTATCTCCTCAGCGCCTCCTCCACCCTCTTCCTCAGTTTCCCCAGAACCCCACCCTCCTGACGCTGCCACATGGGATGTCTCTCACTGTCACTGGGGCTCTCACTATGCCTCAAAATGCAAGGCAGTGCCTGGCACAGACCACAGACCACATGATACTGCCACCCTGGCCCAGTGCCCACCCAAGCCCCTAAACCCCAGGACACTCCAGGCCATGTGTGTTACCTAAGGCGGAGGGTCGTGCCAGCATCACCAGGCTGCTCTGTGCCAGCTGCTGGTGCTTGGGGGAGTCTCTGCCATTGAAGACTCTGGAGCCCGGGGCTGCTGCCATCGGGGGCTGATCAGAGGCCAGGGTAGGTCCTGCAAGCAGAGAGAGAAGCCAGAGGGGAAGGCCAGGCAGCGAGGCTCACCCTCTCACCGCCCAGTTGACCCCATGTTTCTTGGGGCCCAGAGCTTGAGACGTGGGGCCTCTGCTCCACTGACAGCACACAGGCACACACATGCACACACACACACACACACACACACACACACACACATGCACGCACGCACACGCTCCTATCTGCGCAGTACACCCTGCTGCAGTGAGTTTAGCCCAGCCTGAACCCAAAGCAAGGCCGGGTCTTTGTGTTCTTTCTTCTGGTACCAGGAATCGAACTGAGGACCTCACGCTTGCCAGGCAGGTGCTGTGCCACTGAGCTAAAGCCCCGACTGCGCTTTGCTTTCTTTTTCTTGTCCTTTTTTCTTTTGAGATAGGCTCTTGCTCTGTAGCCCAGGCTGGCCTAGAACTCGTAGTATTCCTTGTGCCTCAGCCTCCCAAGAGCTGGATCACAGAAATGCGCCATGATTCCCACCAGGCTGGATCATAGGAGTGCGCCATGATTCCCACCAGGCTTCACAGGGAACCGGCCGGCTGCAGCCCCGTCTCCCCAGCTGCTGCCCCATCGCCTCACCTGCCTGCTGAGCACTCATTTGGATGCCAAGGTTCAGCCCAGGTGCTCCAGGCTCACCGGAAAAGGCAGCCAGAGGCCCCGAGCCCTCTAGCAGTGGGAGGACAGGACCGGAGTTTGCACTGGCAGAGGCCTGGCGGTTTCTGAACTCTGCAGGGAAAGAGGCGGATGTGAGTGCCCACATGCTCCTCTGCAGCAGCCACCACAGGGCTTCCAAATCTGGGATTCCTCCCACAGGTGAGCAGGCTGCAGGGAAATAAGAGTGTGACCACGCAAGGGGTGTGCAAACATCATCCCAGCATGCTGGAAGGCCGAGACAGGAGGATCTCAAGTTCAACCCCAGCCTGGGCAATTTAGCAACTTAGGTAGGCCCTGTCTGAGAACAAAAATAAAAAGGGATGAGCCTGGAGCTCACTGTGAAGGACCTGGGTTCAATCCCAGCATTGCAAAGAAGAAAAGAGACTGGCTCGGGAGCCATGCCACCCACTGGGACACGGGCGGGGACTGCAGGCTGCACAGGGGACACAGGTGAGGTGACCACATCGACCCCACAGAACCTGGCTGGCAGCTCCCAGCTGACCACACAGCACCCCAGACACGAGGGACTGGACGGCTCCTGGCCACTCTGCCAGGGCCCCTTCTCCTCCCCCTCAGCCGAAGGGACACCAGGACAGCTCGGCACCACACCCAAGTGCTTCCCCAGGGACTGAAGCACAGGGCTGGTCCCTCCAGTCACAGTGAACAGGGTCATGGGACCATGGCACATTACTGAAGCCAAAGTGTCTCTAAATTAGGGGTTCTCCATCTCAGCACTCTGACACATCTGTGTGGGTTTTTGTTTGTTTGTTTGTTTGTTTATTTTGTTGTTGTTTTGGTTCAGTCTGTTTTACTTTTTGAGACGGGGCTCACTATGTAACCCCATATTCCCTGAGTTTGAGGCAGGTCTCAAACTCGAAGTGCTCCTCCTGCCTCAGCCTCCTGCATGCTGGGATGGCAGGCGTGCTACACCACACCCCGCTGAACACTGACAGTTTAAACCACATCATGCCAGGCACTGCAAATGTTCAAATGCATCCTTGGCCCCTGTTCCTGGAGCAGTTCCCTTCAGCCATAATGATCAGAACTGTCCCCTGGGCCAGGCACCGAGACACACGGCTGTCATCTCAGCACTCAGGAGGCTTAGGCGGAAGGATCGCCATGAATTCAAAGCCAGCCTGGGCTACAAGGTGAGTTTAAGGCCAGCCTGAACTGCTAAGCAAGACCCTGTCTCAAAAAAAAAAAAAAAAATTGAAAATCAAAAAACAAAGGGTAAAACACTGTCCCTTGGGGAGAAAAATCGCCGCCAAGAGCCACTTTCCACAAAGAGGCACAGCACAGCGTGGATTCTGTCCGCCTTCAAATGCCCCTGGAAATTTCCCTGTCCCTGTCTCGGGAAACATCTGCTGCATGCGGGCACTGTGCGCATGCGCTTTGCCATGGACAGTGCCCCTCCGCCGCCCTGCCGCCCCATGAGCCACCGCGCGAGCCTCACCTGCGCCCTTCCAGCAGATGGCAGGCCCCTGGGTGAGCGCGCCCTGCGCGTCGCGGACCAGGTAGCACTTGAGGTGCTTCTGCTTCTTGGGCTGCGTGCTGAGCTTCAGGTTGATGTGGCTGGAGAACTCGGTGAAGTAGCAGAAGCCCGTCCTGCCACAGCCCACGCAGTTCCCGGAGAAGCCTGGAGGAGCCACGCGTGAGTCCCGCGGATCCCCACCACCCCCACCCGCCTCGGCGCAGGGGGACCAGCCCGGGGCATCAGCCAGGCAGGCCTGGAAAGGCTTCCCGGCTTCGCAATGCCTGGCTCCTCGGGGCTGGGGAGGGCGAGGCAGCACAATGTCACATTTAAGCCCAACTTGGGCCACTCAGCAACTTAGTGAAACCCTGTCTCGAAAATAAAAAATAAAAGGGAGCGGGGATGGGTCCATCCCTAGGACTGCAAATCATCATCATCATCATCATCATCATCATAATACCAATTATGTGTATGATCTGCAAGAGCTTTCTAAAAGGTAAGTCCAAACGCAGTAAGCACCTTAGTTTAACACCTCCAGTGTTTCTTAAAAACATCATTTATGAGGGAAAAATAAGGAGGAAAGGATGTTTATTAAAACTTAAGATGAACCAAATAATGGATTTAAGAGAAATTTAACCGGATCTGGATTTCAATAAACAAGTTGTTAAAAAAAATAAAATAAAATAAAATTTGTGCACTTTGAAGAAAACCGTCGGTTTTGTGCTATGGGACTTGCAACAAAGAGCCCTTGTCTTCTAGAGATGGACACTCACGGGTATCTACCGCAGATGACATAATGTCTGGAATTTGCTTTTTAAAACCCTCAAGGGGTAGAAGAGGAAGTAGCAAATCAAACAGGGCCGGCTGGGGCTGAGGGCCAGGGCTGCCTGCTGTTACCTGCTCAGCCCGCTGCAGCTGGGTCGCGGCTGCTGACCACTGAGCAGCACCTGCCCACAGCCCCCAGCTTGGGCGATGCTCCCACCCTAGGGAGCCCCAGCATCCCTCCAGCGTCTTCATCCCTGGTCCCCATTGTCTGCCATGCCCCGCAGCCCCTGGGCTGAGCACCAGTGCTGGACCACTGGGTTCCAGTTCAGGCCCTGCGGCTGTCTCCTGTGTGACCTCAGCCAGCCGGTTGCCCTCTCTGTGCCCTCAGGGCTTCCTAGATTGCAATGTCTGTGTCTTACTGGTTACTGTAACTTAGAACAATTCCTGGTATGAGATACATGCTTAGCAAACACCAGCCTTACCTAGGATGTCACTGCTTCTGATCTACAAGTGGCAAAAAAAAAAGGTGCTGCTGCTCCTCCTTCCCCTGGGTGGCCCCCAATCCCTCTGCTCTCTGAGAGAGGGTGCCCCCCAGGAGTTGGGGAACCCCTGGGAGTGCCACCGGCACCTTTCAGTAGGATCTGTATTTCTTAGTTTGAAACAAGGTCTTGCTGAGTCACCTGGGGTACTCACACCCTCGTGCCTTGCTTTTCTGGGACCTCAGCTCAGGGCTTCTGAACAGGCCAGGTTGGAAGATTTATTGACCAGGACTTTAGCTGATTGTGTTTGCTGTGTCTTCCGCCACCCCAGGTTTCCCAGGGGAGAGCCAGGCCAGAGCTGAATGTCCAGCCTTTGAGGTTAAACAGTCCACACACACAGGCTTAACTGTCCACTTGCAAAGTCAACAAAGGACTCAATTACTCGTAGCTAAGAACTGAACCTTCTAGCAAGATGTGAGCTGTGATCTAAAGCTACAGGAAGGGTTCATAGTTTTTAAAATGTATGATAGTACTCAGGAGGCTAAGGCAGGAGCATTGCTGCAAGTTGGAGACCAACCTGGGCTACAGCGTGAGCTCAAGGCCAGCCTGAACTGGAAAGCAAGGCCCTGGCTCAAAAAGACCAAAACAAAACAAAGCAAAATGTGTCACAGTAAAAGACCCCCTGTCACAAATCCCTCCAGAAACTTTCCCCCTCGTTTCCCACACACTCAGGCCGTCTTCCTTGACAACGTGGCTGTGTGTCATCTGTTTTTCTTAATGGGACATTGGGTATCTTCCAACTGTCCCAGTCTCTGACATTGAAGCCAGGCAGCCGGGCGAAAGGGTTTCCTGGTGAAACCCTGATACCCACGTGCTGTTTTCTTGAGTTTCTCAGATAAAACCGCTGGGCGGATCCACAGTCACTAACACAGGACTCCTAAAGCTAGGACATTCCACAGCCGCTTTATGGGTCACTAAAAGGCCCCTGCAGGGCTAGGAACCACCTGGTCCCAGCAGCCCCGGGTTTAATTGCAGGAAACCTAAACACAGCCAGGCACACAGGCCAGAACGAAAAAAACTGCTCCCAAAGAAGAAAGTGAGGTTATTAGCAGGCGGTGGCTGTCAGCGCAGGAGGCTCTAGAGAGCAATTAACAGAGCCCCTACCCGGCTTCCTGGCCACTGGCCCTGGGGGCACCTGTGGGAACAGTCCGAGACCAGAGCCAGGCCCGCCCAGATTTACTCATTTAGGGCCCTGGAGATTCCTTCTCCCAAAGCAGAGGAGTCCAGATGAAGACCCGGCCAGGAGCCATACACACGGCTCACATCCATCTGCCACTCAAATGCCAGCAGACTACATCTGCTACTCGGCCTTTGGGGCCACATTAAGCTGGAGACTGGAATTTTAAGGGGCTGGTGCCCATAGGAGACCAGAGATTCCAGGGTTTAACCCAGGGGGTCGGTGGATCCAGAGGCTTCTGAGGACAGCAGGCTGTGGTCACCCCTCACCTCCCTGCTCCCCAGTGGGAACCCCATGACCCAAGGGCCCCTCAGAGATCTGGTGTCAGACTCAAACTCTGCAAACTCAGATCACCCCAGTATCAGGGAAGCACAATGAACTCATGATTGTTCAACAGATCAAAAGCTAGGGGAGCCCACAGTCCAAACAACACAAGCCCACAGCTCCTGGGGGCACACGCCTGTCATCCCAGTACTCTGGGTGGCTGAGGCAGGAGGGTCACAACAATGAGCCAGCCCAGCCTGGGCAACTCAGTGATTTAGCAAGACCCGTCTCAAAGGATAAAATAACAGCCAGGGATGCTGGGGCACACCTGTGATCCCAGCACTCAGAAGGCTGAGGGAGAAGGATCACAGGAGGTTCAAGGGCGGCCTGATGACCCATTCATCACTCAGGTGGCCACTCAAGGAAGAAGGTCCATGACAAATGCATGGAAATCTGGAACCTGGGGTGATGGCCGTTACAGAAAAGAAGTCTCATTTTAAAATAATCACCACTTCCAGTCTGCAGCGATGACCCATTGGCAGCAAAAGAGTTAAAAGTCTCCGCAGAAACATTCCACAGGAAACTGTCCTGCCCCTCCCCACCCCACAGCATGCCCCCACATGCATCCACAGCATACCGGATCAGCCAGAGATAAAGATGACTCCTCTGTGAGGCCAGCAGTGACCTTGTTCCAGTGGAACTGTTTGAATTCAGACACGGGCAGATGTTCCCGGAGGGTTAACAAGGAACAGGGTGCCCCAGAAAGTACATTTCTGAGATAGCTGTATTTATTAACTCAGTCCGTGTCTCACCGTGGGGCCCAGGCTGGCCTCAGACTCGCCTCTAGCCTGCCTCAGCCTCCCGAGTGCTGGGACTACAGGTGTGCACTGCCATACCTGGCTTTCAGTCCCTTAAAAAGCTCCACTCTTGGGGCTGGGAATTTAGCTCAGCGGCATAAGGGCCTGCCTTGCAAGCACAAGGTTGTGAGGTTGATCCCCAGGGCCTATTAAAAAAAAAGCCCCATCCTCACGCTGGCTGCAGGGTCTCTGTCTCAGGGATCGCTGTACCCAGCCCCTTAGCAGTGTCCTGTATCCACATCAGCTCCTCTCTTATTCTGACTTTCCTAAGCTGTTTCTTTTTGGGCCCACAAAAGGCTCAGACCACACTGGAGGCGGCCTGACCACGCTGGGGCCACTGCCAGCTCATCCCAGAAGGAGCACGCACCCAGCAGGGCGTTGTGGCCGCTGTCATCTGGCAGGAAGCGCTTGTCCACAGCGCACACCAGCAGCTGGTCGGGCAGGCTGGGGGACTTGACCCCCACCAGCAGGAAGCCGGCGGGAACCTCCAGGGGCTCGTTGCAGACAGACATGAGACGCAGGTCCTTCCCAGCCTGGCAGAACCCTGCAGGGACGACAGGGCCACATCATGCCCGAGCGCTCAGGGCCAGGGCCACAGCGGCCAACTCGGGAGCCATCCTCAGCGCGGGGTCGGGTGCAGAGTCAGTTAACTCTGGGAGAGGAGCAGCGCTCTAAGGTGGAAATGCACAGTTAAATAACTTAAAGAGCAAACTACAAGAGGACTCTGGGTAACCGAGAGGGGGCCTCGTGCGAACGGCGGGGGACTGAGAGATACAGGGAAGGAAAGAGTGAAAACGGCTGATGTCCACCTGCCAGGCCCCTCATGTGTTTCTGTTTCTTCCAGGTCCTCGCTGTCCCTGAATGGCCATCCAAGAGGCCAAGACACATCCCTGCTGGCCAGCCAGCTCAGAAGCAGGGCACCTGTCTGATTATCCTTCTATCAGTCTGATTATCCTTCCATGATCCGAGCCACCACCTAATTAATAATGTTCCCTAAGGGGCTGGGGATTTAGCTCAGTGGCATAAGCGCCTGCCTTGCAAGCAGGCAGTTGTGAGTTCGATCCCTGGTACTGATAAAAATGAAAAAGACAAAAATAATAATAATAATAATGTTCCCTAAGTGGTTGACGTCACACTTGTCTGTGCTTTCCACATGTTGCTTCTTCCATTGAAGTTTCATGGCAAACTCCTACAAAGCCTGCAAAACCCCATGGAGGAAGTCTCCCCAAAACTCTCAACCTGTGACTGGAAATGTTATTCTCCTCTGAGCATCATCACTTGTCCCAACCCCAGCATGCACCAGTCAGGGTGCAAAACATCTAGTTCCTGTTCAGTGGGGGACCTTGTATAATTGCTCGTCACATTGCCAGAGCAAGAGCTAAATGATATAAGGTATAACCAAAGTATCAGTGTGTACATTTTTACAAATCTGCATTTTACAGAAGCCTGCCATGAATCCTCTCAAAATCCTCCTCTCGCTTTGCACACACTCCTCCCATCCTCTGAGCCACTTCCTGCAGCAGCTCTGGAGTCCTCTTTCCTGAGAGTTTTTAGCTGTGCTATCCTGGCTGCCTCGATGCCATGAATGGATTCAAAACATCTCCTTCTCCTCATCATGGCGACTCTGGGGAAGAGCCAGAAGTCACATGGTGCCAAATCCCCTGACTAAGGGGGATGAGGACACGGCTTAGCTTTCTATGCGCTGCCTTTCTGTTGGGTGGAACTCGGCAGCAGCAGTCACTGTATTTTTGATCTCACCTGCTAGAGACCCTCAGGAAAGAGGACCCCAGAGCTGCTGCAGAACGTGGCAAGGACGATGGGACATGTGTGCAAAGTGAGGGAGGATTCTGGGAGGGTTCTTGGCAGTGTGTCTTTCGCTGTAATAATGTTTCACGGTTTGCTTTAAATGTTCGCTGTCTCTTCAGTCTCCTCCCATACTCCGCTTGTCCCACAGTGAGACAGCTCTGAGAGCTGTTTCTTGTCATCCCTTGGGATCAGTTCTGAGTTACACACGCTGGGGGAGCAGACCCAACTAGGGAGAGAGGCGGATCCTAGGCCCCAAGCGGCTAACACCAAGAATGAACCTGTGGAAGAAAACCCCCTGTGAAGCTGAGGCTGCCAAAGAGCAGAGCGGCAGAGGAGCGATGAGCAGGCGTCACCTAGGGGAGCCCGGGGACACACACAGGCGCGGACAGGACCCATGGCTCCTGGTGCAGGTCCAGCCTGGCCCAGAGGAGACTGTGCTGTGGGGGCTGGGCTGGTGCCCAAGAGGGCTGGCAGATGCTGGGCATGGTATACACACCTGTAGACCTAGCACTTGGGAGGCTGAAGCAGGAGGATTGCCAAGGGGTCCAAGTCTCAAGAAATTAAAAATTAAAATTACAGAAAGAGGGGCGGTAGAGACTTACCATCCATGGTACAGCAGCCTTCTGGAGGGGGAGCCAGCTGGTAGGGGTTCGGAGGGCCGTTGGTGTCCAGCCCACCCTCTCCCTCCTCTTCCTCTTCCTCATTGTCCACTCGGCTGCCCCCTGGACGTAGAGAGAAGTGTGATGACTTGCAAGGCCACTGCCATCTGGGTTTTCTCCCTGGGAACTCGGCCCAGGACCTGGAGGGGGTTGAACCCCAGGCCACACTCTGTTATCCAGCAGGGCTCAGGACAGTGACAAGTTCAAGGCCAGCCTGGGCAACTTAGCAACACAGCTACCCCTTATCTCAAAATAAAAAACTGAATAAAGGGCTGAGGACTCAGCTCAGTGGGAAGCCGGAGATCATTTGCTAATATGAAAAAATGCACGAGGTATATGCAGACATTTCAGAGTCTAAGGGTCAGAGGCCCAGAGAGTGATCCACAGCAGTCTCATAGCCTGATGTGCTCAGCTGTGCCTGATACCCAAACTGGTATTCTCCCCACTAAACTACACCACTTAGTGCAGAAGACAGAATATCAGTAGTGTGAACCATCTTAATGGGGCACAGGGGAGCTATTAGACTCTACATCGCTGTTTAATTCCAAGGGAAAAATGTGTCTATATATTGCTCTAAATAACCAACACACCTAAATAGTGTGTCATACATATACTCCAAAATGCCATTCCAGAAGGCCCTAGAATGTTCCAGAACATTCTAGAACAGGCCCTAAAAGCATTCTAGAACACTCTGGCTTTAGGAAACTACTTAAGGGAAAGTGTGTCTTGGGAGGAATGGGAGAGCTGACATCACCAGAAGAGCCTGGACTAGCCCACAGAAATCCCAGCACTCCCTGGCCTCCACATGGTCACTATTGTGACCTGGACCTCAGGAGGGTCCCAAGTGCCTGGAGGACAGGCCTCCCCGAGCTGTCCCTGCACCCTGGACACCCAGCACAATACCTCATAGAGACGGAGCTCAGGGCAGCCGAGCGCAGCCCGCAGCTCGCCTCACACTGAAAGCCAGGCTTTCACAGACACAGCTATTTTCAAGGCTTCCACCGCTCTCACTTAGACATCTGGAGTAGACGTCTTCTTCCACTCTGGGAGGCTGGCGCTGCCCTTCAGTGTGCTGCTACCTCAGTCCATCCAAGGTGGCAGCCAAGAGCCGGGACCCTCCCTCATGGCTCAGAGCTTGACAGGCCGCAGGATCGTGACAGAAGCCCCATGAATGAAGCAGGCCCCAAGCTGGCCAGTCAGGTAGCCAAAGGATCCCAGGGCTGGGACTGGACTCCCAGGTGTGATCTGACTGCATGCCCAGGCGCATCAGCTCCCAGGGCCCACCTGGTGCCCACAGGCCAGGCGTCCCAGCCTCTCAGGAGGCTGAGGCAGGAGGATCACTGTGGGTTCAAGGCCAGCCTGGGCCACACAGTCAGCTCAAGGCCGGGCTGAACTGTACAGTAAGACCCTATCTCAATAATGCTAATAACAACAATAGTAACAACAACAATGCTCTGTCTGCAAAGCCAACCCTCCAGGACCCACAAGGAGTTGCAACACATCCCGGGTGTCTCCTATTAGCATAGTAGAAAAAGGAGTGAAAAATTCCAGAAGAGAAACAGCAGCCTTGCAGCCAGGGCCTGGGAGAGCAAGCAAGCCAGGAGGAAGGAGGAGGGGAAGGGGAGCAGGATCAGGAGCTCAGCCCCCAGAGTCAAAGGGCTTCCCGCGGGCAGAGCGAGCAGGCCTCGCGAGGTCAGAGGGCTGCCCCGGACATTCCAGCGCCTTTGATGGGATCAGCACCCGCCCGCCCGCCAGACGCTGGTCCCCAGGGTGGCAGACAAAGCGGGCCGGCAGGGTCGGGTGGCAGCAAAACTCGGGAGCCAGGACGGGCTAGAGCTCTGGAGTTGCGCTCAGTTCTGCAGAGCCGGTGCATCCCCTCAGGGCAGAAACCCTCAGCGGCCCCGGGCGCTCCCGGCTCCGTTCAGGGTCCTCGCTAAGGAGCCAGGCTGGGGGGGCAAGCGCGAGGAGGTGGTGGGGTAGGAGTCCCGAGGCGGAGCTGAGTCCCCTACTGACCCGCACCCTTGGAGCCCGGGGCTCTGTCCTCGAGCCCTGGCCAGGAAAATCATCCCGGGGCGGATACAGCGGGGTGGAGGGGGAGGCCGGGAGCTCGGAGGGAAGCAGGAGTTGCAGACTTCGGTGTACCATGGGGTCGTCCTGACTCAGCCTCGCCCTGCAGCTCAGCAGCTTCTGGGGCGACACCACAGAACTCAGTGTCTCCACAGTCAGCGGCCCAAGCACAGGGTCTCGGGAGTCCCTGCCACGCGGAGGTGGCACTTCTCATGCCAGAGCACAGCGGTGCTTTCTGAGTGAACACCTGAGAATTCGGGGGTTTCCTAATTGGTAGCGGGGACCAGGACTAAAGGTGTTCTTAGCCCCAGACTCAGCTCGGAGGAATGCTCAGCTATGCCATCAGCGAAGTGCATTTAATAAGGACCTTTTTGGTCGGCCTGGTTTTTGTTTTTATGGACTGAGCAGAGTCTCCTATAGAGCAGCATCCTCAACTCCCTTTATCTGTTTTATATTTTGAGACCTCATTAAGGTGTTAAACCTTCCAAGCGTGCTCCAACTTGCAATTCCTCCCGCTTCAGCCTCCCACAGTGCCGGGATGACAGGCGTGCAACACCATGCCGGCTGGTGAGGACATTTTAGAAGGGGGGTCCCCAGCAAGGACACAGAACTGTCACAAGATCGCAGCGAGTTTGAAGCCAGCCTGGGCCAAGTAGAGAGCTCAAGGGCAGCCTGAACTACAAAGGGAGACCCTGTTTCAAACAAACAAATACATACGGATACACTTCCAAACAGAAACTCTCCAGCAGCGGCTGCCACATGCCACAGACTGCTGCGGGCTTACCGTGCACATAAAAATACACAGCGGTTAAAAACTACAGCCCTGTAGGTGTCCGGCTGGTTAAGTGAAGCCTAAAGTAAGTCATCCCCGAGCCTGAAGGTTATCTATTTACTTAGCTATTTACTTACTATGTACTCTTGGCAATGTAATCAATGTGTAAGAGATCGCCCTGGTTCTTCAAAGTTTCCGAAATGCTCCCTGCAGCTGCTACCGCGGGAAGCTCTAGGCGCCCTTGCAGAGGTACAGGGCGAGCCACGGGGCAGAGCAGGGGGCACCCCAGACCTCCCGCTGAAAGCCTCGCCGCCGGGCAGCCTTCCCGGGAGCCTAACAAAGGCCGCCTCTGGACGGCTGCGCGTCGCCTGCCCCTGCCGCCTCCTCCTCCAAGCTCTGCGGCTCGCGCTCGCTGTGCGCTGGCTGCGATCTACTTTCCGGCGAGCAGCGCGCGAGTCGTTCCTGCAGGGCGCAGGGTCCCCGGGCCGGCTGGGGCGGTGGAGGAGGACCCCTGGCCTGCGTCCCTAGCGAACGCCGCGCCTCCTACCTTCCAGCGAGGAGAGCTGCTGCTCGGCTTCCAGGTAGAGCTGCGAGAAGATGGGCCGCGGCACCAGGCTGCTGGAGCGCAGCGAGGCCTCGATGGAGCTGTGCAGCACCTCCTCGAAGCGCGCGCTCTGCAGCTGCCCGGCGTACGAGTTCCCCATCGCGGGGCGGGGCGGGGCGGGGCGGGCGGCCGCGGCCCGGGCTCACAGCGGCATCCCGGTCCGCGGAGGGCCCGGTGCTGCAGGGCTGCGCCAGCAACCCGCAGGAGGAGGACGCGCAGCGGAGGCGGCTGGGCTCTGCGGGGAGATTGCAGGAAGTCGTATAAGTAACAACCCCGGCCGGCCGGCCGGCACCGCCTCACTCAGCCCGCCCGGCCCAGCAATTGCTCGGGCCCCCCAGGGAGGCCGGAGCAGCGACCAGGGACTCCCCTTTTGGGGGGAGCACGGTTACACCTGCAAAGCTTAGCTTCCGAGAGAGGTCAGGAATCACCCAGGCCACCCCCCAAGTAAACCCTACCCTGATTTTCTTTTTTCTGTAGCAGCCTCGCTGAGATATAGTTCATGTAACAAAGGGGGATTTTCACAACGTTGCACAACCATCATAAAATCAAATTTTTGTCATTGTTATTTTCAGACAGGGTCTCACAGACGCGCAGGAAGGCTGGCCTCCAATTTGTGGAGATCCTCCTGCATCGGCTTCCTGAGTGCTGGGATGACAGGTGGGCACCCTTGCCCAGCTTTGATAGGAGGCATTTTAGAATTTCAGCTTTCAACACTTTCATCACCCCTAAAAGAAGTGTCACTAACCATTTCACCCCAACTCTCCTGCCCACCGTGGATTAGTCTTTCACTACAGATTTGCTGGGCTTTTATGTTTTTAATTTTTGTAGCACTGGGGATTGAACATCCAGGGCCTTCACAATGAGTTAACTCCCCAACATTCAAAAAAGTTTTTTTTTTAATTTTATTTTGAGATAAAAGTCTTGCTAAATTGTCCAAGTAGGGTTAAAACTTGAAATCCTCCTGCCTCAGCCCCCTAGAGTGATGGGATTACAGGCCTGAGCCATCACACCCAGCTAGAAACCACATTTTTTAATTTTAACGAGAAACAAAATAAAACAAAAACAGAACAAAGCAAACAACAGAGGACTTCACAACAAGACTACAGGACATCAACAATGGCTACCATGTCTCTTGTTTTCCTCAAAATAGTTTACCATACCTTCTCACACAGTAACATCAAACATAACAAAATAGTATAAAACCATTCAAAAGAACGAAAGCATTACAGAACTTCAAAACCAGATAACAGGAAATGAACAATGGCTACTATAATTTCTTATTTTGCTCAAAAAAGTTGTCCATACCATGTCACACATAATAAAATCTAAGAAGACACAACAGGGAAGGACCAAACAACACAAAAGAACAAAAGCATGATGGGACTTCAAAGCAAGATAATAGGAAATCAGCAATGGCTGCCATAATGTCTGCTTTTCTTCAAAACAGCTGTTTAGGAGGTGGAGATTTAGCTCAGCAGCATAAGTGCCTGCCTTGCAAGCAGGCAGTCGTAAGTTCCATTCCCAGTACCGATAAAAAGGAAAAAGAAGACAAAAAAAAAAAAAGCTGTTTATACCATCACACATAATAAAATCAAATAGAACAAAAGAGTAAAACCAATTGAACAAACAAATGAAAGCATTATAGGACTTTAAAACAAGATCATAGGAGACCATGATTACCATACTATATCCCATTATATTCAAAATAGCTGCCCCACCATCAGACAGTAAAATCTAACAAAACAAGACAGAACAAAGCCAAACCTAACAAAATTGTCAAAACAGTACAGGAGCTCAAGACAAGACAATAAGAAATTAACATCAGTTACCACCTTCTCCTCCTAAGTGTCTCCCCCCTCCCCATCACTTTCAAACCATCTATTGTGTTTTCTGATCCCACTAACTCCTGTTTATTATGCTAGGATTCACGCCTATGAGTCCAAACTGTCTCACCCATGAACATGATGTCTAGTTGTATCCATTTACCTACAAAGCTTCGAGATTGTCCTACTTTATAGCTGAGTAACTTTCCATTATATGAAAATACCATATCTTCCTTATCCAAATTACTCTTGCCTTTTTGTTTCCTTTTCTTTTTTTCTGGTCTCCTGCCACATGGAACAATTGCCTTGTCCCTTTGATTTTCAGCCTATGAATTTCCTTTCCAGTTAGATGTGTTTCTTGTATACAATGTATTTTTTTTTTTTTTGTCTTTTTCGTTTTTATCGGTACCAGAGGTCGAACTCACGACTGCCTGCTTGCAAGGCAGGCGCTTATGCCGCTGAGCTAAACCCCCAGCCCCTAAACAATGTATTGATGGCTCTTGTTTCTTGGTCCAGCCTCCCTGTGTTTCTTTTTATTGCTGACCTGAAGCATCCACATTAATGGTTACAGCCGGCACACAGTGGTCGCCTCTGCCTTGCTGTCCTCCTCCAGCTGGCCTCCACGTTTCCCCTTAGAAACCACTTTTTAAACGTTGATGGCTCCTTTTTGACAGACACCTGATGCGGTTTTATAAAAACTACTACAGGCAGGACAGCCTGAACATCCCAAGGCCCTTCAAGGGGGGCAAGGAAACGCACTAGCCGATCCCATGTTTCCGTACCCCGAGTTTCTCTACCCGGGCACTGGCTTCTAAGGTGGATTTGACACGAAATAGCACAGCACGCTGCGTGACACCATCTCCGCCCCCGTCTGCGTCCACAGGGACGATGCACACGCGCACCGGCAGGGCCAGGCCAGGCCGCACCGCCCCACGCGGTGGCATCCCTGTGAACCCCGCGCCCGCTCCTGGTGGGCTGCGGGCACAGCGGCTCCAGGAGCCCTTTGGCGGCGGCTGCGCTCGGGAAGGGGAAGGTGCCAGCGTGCGCGTGGGTTTCTGCTGTCCTCTCCAGCTACACCGCAGTGGTGACCCTCGAGCGCCTCGCCTTAGGCAGTAACTCCTGCCTGAAGGGCGGCTCGCCAGCTCCCGGAATTAGTCCAGCAAAGGGAGGGGTGGGGGGTCCACGGCCACGGCGGCGCCTTTCCACAGGCCGTCTGTGTGTATTCTGTTTCTGTTGGCGGAAGTGGGAGCGGAACCCAGGTCCTTGCATAGAGTGACATCCGCACCCCTTTTTCTATTTTGGGTTTTGAGACAAGATCTCAATAAGTTGCTAAGTCACCCAGACTGGGCCCTCAAAGTTGGGACCCTCCTGCCTCAGCCTACCCCAGTGCTGGGATTACAGGTATTTGCACTAAAGCAGTTTGCGTGCTTTCTACTGAGGGTTTATGAAGCCTGGATTATTGATGATCAGCTCCAATACGCGCGAGGCACAAATCCTCAGAAAAGGAAAAGAAATGGAAGCAGAGACAGGTGAAGTGGTGCACACCTGTTAATCAATCCCAGCACTGGGGAGACTGAGGCAGGAAGATCTCAGAAAGTTTAAAGCCAGCCTGGGCTACACAGTGAGACCCTGTCCCAAAACCCAAAATAAGCCATCACCTCCAAGCCCAGAGTCGGGAGCCCCAGGTGGGCACATGCGCGACTGTCCTGGAGGCCCCAGGAGGTGACCAGAGTTTCACTTCTTCCAGTCCTGGAGTCCCTCCGCCATGGGCACAACCAGGAGGGGCCCTGCTACAGCACCCAGGGCTGGTCCCCGCCAGCCAAGCCCTGGGTCAGACGTCGCGCTCCCTCCCCACCCCCCACTCCGCGAAGTCCCGACCCCTCAGCGGCCAGGGCAGAGGCTGCCGGTCCCAGCCCCGACGCCAGCAGCGGCCACGGCGTGGTCCCCGAAGCTCCATCCGCCTCGCAGTGGCAGCGACCGCGAGGACCGCAGCGCAGAGCTCCGAGGGAGAGAGAGCAGGGCTCCCTGCGCGCTTCTTCTGCGATCCGCGGGGGCCTTCGGGTGCCCCTCGGAAACCCGGCCCCGCCTCCGCCCCCGCGGATCCCGGCAGAGCCCCCGAGAGCCCCGATACCTTCTGGAGGCCCGGAGCCCCGGGCAGCGCCGCCGCGCTCTGACCCGGCCGGCACGGGGCGGGGGTGGGGTGCACCCTGCGCCCCCGAGCGCGCGCGGTCAGCCTGACCCGGGGAGGGGCGGGGAGCCGGCGGGAAAGGCGCCCGCGGTCAGCGAGTCCCCACCCAGCCCCGCATCAGAGCGCAGGGCGCCGTGTTCGCGGAGCCCAGCGCCGGGTCACCGCGCTCTCCACCCGGCACAGGCCGATCCGCCTGCCCGCGCGTTCCGGGGAGCCCCGTGCAGCCCCACGAAGCGAAGGGACTTGGGGTACAAAGCCGCCCACCAAGATCGATGGCCAGTACTTCGTTGCGTCCCGGAAGGGGCAGCTGCCCGGCATGCCTGCCGTCCCAGCACTCAGGAGGCTGAGGCAGGAGGTTCGCTTGAGTTCAAGGCCAGCCTAGGCCACACAGCAAGACTGCGGCACCAGGCTGAACAGAACTCCCAGGACACCCGCCTGCGCCCCCCCCCACACACACACACACATACACACCGCAACCCTGGGTCACCCAGTCACAGGCCAAGAGCACCCAGGGGGACACAGCAGGGAGCGGCAAAACAGCCAGAGGAAGCCAGGGGCACATATGGGGGTCTGTTTTGTGTTGTTTTTCTGTCCTGGAGCTGAACCCAGAACCTTTGCACCAAGTTGCATCTGCAGCCCTTTTTAAATCTTTTTTTTTTTTTTTTTTTTTAAGATTAAATCACTAAGTTGTTCAGGTTGGGCTCAAAATGTGCAATTCTCCTGCCTCAGCCTCCTA